GTAATGCCACCAGCGGGCACAGAGAAAAGGGGGTGAGGCAGAAAGAGAAAGTCGTGATGGACTTTCTCCATCACGACTTTCAAAGGCCGAGTGGGCTGGCCAACCCCGGCCAAGGGTCAACACAGGCCATCCCAGCCCTGCGTCTGCCAGTGTCACTGCTGTGACCTGGACGTGTCCCTTGTTATCTCTGAGCCTCAGTTTCTCCGTCTGCAAAACACAGTGTTGCACTGGATGATTTCTGAGGGTCCTTGTAAGAACTGGGATGTTTGTCATAAAGAAAATGACTCATTCAGCCGAAGTTTCCGAGCCCCGGGTGGAGCTCAGGCGTGTGCCAGCTGCTGCGCACACAGCAGTGAACAGAACCGATGAAGTCCTCTGCCCTCCAGACTGTCCCCCTCCGTGAGAGCTGCCAGCCCCGAGGCTGCCGAGGAGGGACAAACGCTCTGTGTCTTCCGATGATATTTTTATTGGCGGCAAGAGGAAAGGCGAGATTCTCTGCTCATCAGATTCTCGCACTAATGAGAATACCTGAAGTAAAGGAGCAATTGTAATTAGGCCAGGAACTCTGCACACTTGAAAGGACCATAAATAAGAAGGGGGCTTAACCTCATCTTCCCATGAAAGCCCCGAGAGGGGGGAGGGAGGGGAGAAGAAGCTGAGCAGGGAGCAGCCCCCTCCCAAACAGCAGGTGCTTGGAGGGGGTCGAGATGGCCCCTCACTCACGGGCGACTCAGTCAAGGTGAAATTCAAGGCTGAGTCTCCGGTGCGAAGCTGGGCAGGCCCAGGGACGGAGATGAAAACCAAGCGCCCAGATGTCAGCTGCGAGAGGACCCAAAGCTGGGCTGTGGCGTTGTCATCACAGCGGTGTGAGCGCCCCCCACGAAGGGGGGGAGCACGGAGACAGGGGTGCCTGTTAGCACCCAGGGCTCCCACCAGGCTGACCTCTTGGCTACGTGCACCGGACTGAGGTGGCCTGGCCATTTCTTGTGGACGAGCAGATGTTTGCCATGGCCTCTACCTCTGGATGCACGCAAACCCTCAGACTTCTGGCTGAGCCCTTCTCCCAGCCTGGGACTGAGGGTGTCCTCGCCTCCTGAGAGGGGGCCGTGCCCCCGTGGGCTAGGAAAATGCTGACTCTAGTTCCTGTGTGCGACATGTGGGCCTGAATTCGAATTCTGCCCTGCCCCTGCCCGCCAAGCTCTCCCAGCGTTCCTTTCCTCCCTCCAGCCTGGAGGAGACCTGATCGGGGTCCTGGCAGAAACCGGAACCCCCTCAAAGGGGTGCTGTGGAGAGCTGCAGGAGGTGTAGGAGCGACCGAGGGGTCCAGCAAGGAATGCGGAGCACTCAGGGCCTGGCTGGTGGGGACCATTGGCCGCCCAGGCCGCAAGCGCCCAGAGGAGGCCCCAGTGCTCCAGGGCCCGGGGGGATGCAAAGAGCTGCCTGACCCCGGTGTGACCACAGCCCAAGAGCACAGCCACCACACAGCCTCAGCCCAGCCTCCCCTCCTCCACACAGATCTCTGCCTCCCGGTGCCAAACCCACCTGGAGCCGGGGGCCAGGAGCCGAGGCACAGCACATGAGGCACCTGTCAGAGGACACAGCAGGCCAGAGGACAGGGCTAGTGACAAGGGGGGACGAACTGGCTGCGGTAGGCTCCGTAACGGCCCCAAAGGTGCCATATCCCAATCTCCGGAACCTGTGAATAGGTCCCTTCAAGGCCAAAGAGACTTTGCCCACATGACTAACTGAAGGTCTGAGATGGGGCGTGGGGGGTGATCCAGGATTAGCCAGTGGCCCAATGCAATTGCAGGAGACAGGAGGGTCACAGACTCTCAGAGGGGGTGTGAGACGGAAGCAGAGGGACACCGTGGGAGACTGGAAGATGCTACACTGTTGGCTTTGAAGATGGAGAAGTGGTCACGAGCCAAGGAGTGGCCTCTAGAAGCTGGACAAGGTAGGAAGCTGGTCCCTTCCTAGAGCTTCCAGAAGACACAGCCCTGCTGACCCCCTTGAGGACCACTGACCTCCAGAACTGTAGAGAATCAACCTGCGCTATTTTCAGCCATTGAGTCTGTAGTAATTTGCTGCTGCAGCCACAGGAAACAGACACCTGCACAGTCTCCGAGGGGACGGATGCCTCGGACCACCCAGCCCTCTCTGATCTTGAGGTCTGTGTGAACTCCAGCTAAGGTCAGAAGGGTGGCTCACACCTGCGAGCAAATGCCGTGGTTAACCAGTGACAATTCCCAAACAAAGGCCATGGACATGCTCTGAGCTGCTCCCTAATTTTTCTCCTCCTTTTTTTTTTTTTCTTTTGGTAATACATTATGCTCATGTATGGACTGTCCGGGAAGGGAGGCATCACCGTGTCAGATAAAAAAGGCCCAGAAGTCCGGGAACTTAGGTACTAATCCTGGATCGATTCCAGGTTTCAAGTAGAATCTAAGAAGTTACTAACCTTGTCTGAGCCTCTCCCATCTGTACGAAGGGTGGGGACTGAGGGCCTAGTCTACTGGCATTCTGATTCCACGGTTCTACCCACCTCCTTTCCTGTCACCAGCCAGGCTAACCCTGCAGGAGTAGGAGTGGTCAGGGCTCATGGAGAGCCCACATCTAGAGCCCAAAGCTTTCTCAGGAAGGTCCAGCAGGATCCCCATCTCCTGGCCCAGGGACCACAGTCTGCTTACTCTGCTGCCCCCTGCTGGGCACTCAGAAAAACAAAGGCTTCCAGGTGGATCCTTTGGAAGTGGTTGAAAGGGACCCTCAGGAGATGCCCCCTGCAACCTCCTGAATCCATCTGACCAGCCAGGACCTCCCTGGAGGCTGTTGCCAAAGCCCACAAGGAAGCCTGTGCAGGGACCAAAAGCCTGGATGGAGGCTGCCTGCTGTGGGGCCCCAGCTCAGCCCCCCACTCCTGCAGCCGCTGCCCTGCACCAGTAAAATGGGGTAAAATGGGGCATGAAATGCCAGAGCTCCTGAAAAGTGGTGCTCTTGTCCCGTTCGCTGCCTTTGGGTGATTGTGATGATAAGATGAGGTGTCCCTGTTCTCTCTCACACATGCTCACACACACACACACAAAATTTACACAAGAGAAGCACACTAATAAGCAAGAAGTGTTCTTGACAAGGGAGAAGTGACCATCGAGAAGTCTACCTATCCTGCAAGAGGGCGGCCTCCGGGAAGCGCAGAGCCTCGCGATGCCGCGAGGAAGAGGCGGCACGCACCCGGCAGCATGCCACGGGTCCGCCGCAAAGAACGAGGTGCAGCTAGAAAGGCTGGGCCCGGGGAAGCTGGGGAAGCTGACCGAAAAGTCATGAACCAAAATGTGGCCTGGTTTCCATCCACTGGATGGCGTGTGAAAAGGAATCTCCGGGCTCTTTGAACAGACATGCCCCTAACCACTGCTCCGGTTTGGGACAGGGAAGGGGGTCTCCACACCTCCTCAAGTACGAATGCCACCACACTTCACGGGGGTCCTGGCCCTCACCCCTCTTTTGACTTGGGCCTGTAAATGTCTCGGGGCATCGGAATCAGAGACTTGCCCACAGGACGAGTTGGACAGGACCGAGCAGCGTCCTGGGACATTCAGGCATCATTTTGCTGGAGGGACCGCAGAGGAAGTGAGATCCTTGCTGGCCCGGGAAAAGGGATGGCCAGTGGGAACACTACATCCAGAAAATGGAGAGGACAATGGAGGCTGGGAAGTCTGGTCCTCATATAATGCCTCCTGCCAGGCTCTTGATCTCCTTCTCAGCCACTGTTGAGCTTCTGATGGTGGCTCAGACACCACCTGTGCCTCTCTCCCGGGGCCTTGGGAGCAGGGGAAGTCCTCTGCTGTCCTCTGCTGTCCCCTGCTGGCCACTCTAAAGCAAACGCCCAGGACACTCCTCTTCCAGCGTCTCCAGGTCATGTGCGTAGTGTTCCCCTGCTGTGGTTGTCTCTAAAACCTCGTCTGGGTTCTCTCTCAATACACCTGGGTAGCCCATTAGAGACCAAGTCTGAGCCAAAATGAGCCCTTTCCTCCTTGGAGGGCTTAACCTCAAATCTCCTGGTGCTGCAAAAGCCAGGAAGAAGAGAAAAATTAAAACACCCCCCATTAAAATAACTGCCGCTACCTCTGATGTCAGGAATATCCTCAATCTGTGGCCAGGGGCTCTTGAATTTGGAGCCACAGAAAAAAAGGCTGTCACAGCACCACGGGGGCCCCGCAGAGAGACAATCTCACATGGCCATTTCATGTACATGCCGGGTATCGATTTCCAAATCTTAGAGTCAACCTTTGGACAAAGCACAGAAGATTAAGGTTTGGTTACAGGCAGAGCAAAGATACTAACAGCCCGGGGGATGGAAAAGTAAAGGTAGGACAAGGTGGGAGATGGGGTGGGGGAAGGGTCCCAGTGGCTGCCACCCTCCATCTATCCAGACGAGAGTCAATGGGATTGGATAAAGAGTCCTGGAGGAAATATATAAAATAACAAAAATAACCAAGCAAGGAACCAAAAATATACCTATCCAGAATTGGGAGAAGGGGAAGGTAGGAATGAGAAAGCATCCAAACATTAAATTCTCATTTTTTTTTGGCAGCATGGGGTAAAATGACACGTGGAGAAATTGTGACTTGAACATATTATTTGGGGACAAAGAAAACTACCAGAAGAGTAAAAACTAGGGTCAGATCGCTGGCTCTGGGCTTAGAAATAAGAAACACAGGGCAAGAAACTTCATTTTTATTCATCAGCACTTTGGGGATTTTATTTTTACCATGCGTATATATTATTTTGGTTTTAAAAATGAATTTTTGCCCTGGCTGGTTTGGCTCAGTGGTTAGAGCATGCGCCCGAGGACCAAAGAGTCAAGGATTTGATTCCAGTCAAGGGCACGGACCTTGGTTGTGGTTCAATCCCGGCCCTGCTCAGGGTCGTGCAGGAGGCAGCCAGTCGATGTGTCTCTCTCACGTTGATGTTCCCCTCCCTCTCCCCCGCCCCCATTCTGTCTAAAAATCAATGGAAAAAAATATCCTTCAGTAAAGATTTTTTTTAATTAGTTTTAAATTGTAAGAGGGACACCATAACCCTAGCCAGCTGCACCAGAAATAGCCAGGCCGTGTGCTGGTGGGGGTGCCCTGTGGGAGGCGGGGACAGGGAGGCCGGGAAGGCCGGAGGCAAGCGCGCCCTAGCCCAGCATGTCCCTGCAGCGCCGCCGCTCCTCCGCCCGCTTCTCCTCCAGCCGGCTCTCCAGCAGCCGCAGCTCTCTGCGCACTGCCTTCCGCATGGCCGGCTCCAGCTCCAGCACCTTCTCCAGGTCTGCTTTGGCCTCTGCCTCATTCCACACCTCCGCGTGAGCTCGGGCCCGCACGTAGTAGGCCTTCACGATGCCTGCAGGGACGATAGAGCTGGCGCTGCCACCCAGGCCCAGAGGCAGCCCCTTCGGCTGGCCTTTCCAGCTTACAAAACCCTTGACCTGCCCGGCAGGTGCGGCTCAGCAGATTGAGCGTCCTCCCATGAACTGAGAGCCCCCACAGGGCACACACCGGGGTCGCGGGCTCGATCCCCAGTAGGGGGCGTGCAGGAAGCAACCGATCAATGTGTCTCTCTCACATCGATGTTTCTATTTCTCTCTTCCTCTCTCTCTAAAAAAAACCACTAAAAATATATTTTTAATCATTATTATTTTTTTCTTTATTGATTTTAGAGAGAGAGGAGGGGAGAGGGAGAGAGAGACGGAAACATTGATGGGAGAGAACATCATTGGCCGCCTCCTGAATGCACCCACTGGGGATCGGGCCCACAACCTGGGCACGTGCCCTGACCAGGAATGGAACCAGTGACCTCTTAGTGCATGGGTCCAAGCTCAACTCCTGAGCCACACCTGCTGGGCTAAAAAAATATATTTTTAAAAAAACCTTAACCTGGACCATGACCCTTCACTTCTCTGTACCTCCTGAGCCCATGTCCTTGACTGTGAAATGGAGATAATAACAGCAGTTGTGACTCCCCACCCTTGTGCAGACCCTTCCATGGCCTCATAATTAATTTTATATTCATAACTTTCTATTATTTTTTTATCCTCACCTGAGGACATTTTTCCATTTTCTGTTCAGATAGAGTGGGAAGGAGAGAGAGAAACATTGATGTGAAAGGGACACATCGAGTGGCTGCCACCTGCACGACCAACCAGGGCTGGGGACAAACTGCAACCAAGGTACATGCCCTTAGCGGGAATCGAACCTGGGTCTCTCTGGACCGCAGGCCGACGATCTGACCTCTGAGCCAAACCGGCCAGGGCTCTATTATTCTTCTTATAGAAGCTCCCCAAATTGTGTACCTTCAGGCCCTATCCCTGCACCTACCCCGCAGGCCTATGGTACCAATCAAAGAGGTGACAGGTGCGAGAATTTAGCGCCTGGCGCGCAGTGTGTCCGATGTGGTTCCTATGAGTTCGAACACCATCTTCACATACAGCTTGGTGGCACTGCCCATCTGTGCACACAGACGCTAGCACTCAAGGGTGTTCTCTGCATTGGTGGCCCTTTTCCGAAAAGCCCGTTCACTGCTCCACACGATCACAGGTTTTTGGAAGCTACTTATATATTTGTCCGAATGCACATTAAAATACAATACCTCTACAATTCGCACTGCTCATCCGTCACCTGTGAAACGGATACAGACTCGGGAATCTGCCAGGTGGTGGCAAGTTTAGATGCCAGCGTCTGAAGGGCAGACGGAGGTCGGAGCCCCGACTCTGCGGCCCGCCAGCCCCGCCCCGCCCGCGCCCTCCCCGCACCCACCCGGGTGGTGCCGGAGGATGTCGCTGGTGTGCTCCAGCACCTCGTAGTACTCCTCCCTCTTCAGCAGGCACTGGCAGTAGTTGAGGATCAGGGTGTTGATCATCTTCTCCAGCTTCAGCCACTGTGCCTCCCAGGGCTTCTCCTGCCGGCGGCGAAAGGGCTGCCGTGAGCCCTGGCTGCTGCCGGGAGCCCTCCCCGAGGCCCTGGCTGGGGCAGGGGGGAGGGCAGGGGGGGGGGGCGATGGCGAGCATCCTCCCACCTTGGTCTGCAGGTTCTTCAGGCAGACGATGGCTTCCTGGTACTTGGTGGAGGCCTCCTCGTAGCGGCCCAGCTTGAAGAGCCGGTTTCCTTCTCCGTGCAGGATGGGCACCGCCTGCATCTTCTCCGCGTGGCTCAGGCTCCAGGTCTCCCTCTGGTACTCGCTCGGGGCCTCCACCTGGCCCAAGAGCTGCAGGTCAGCAAGGTGGGGCCCGGGCGCCTGCACCCTGGCAGGTAGGGACCCCAGCACACTCACTGAAGTCAGCTCTGCGTTCCCACAGTGAGGTGCCGCCAGCGAAACCCTGCTCGCAGATCAAATACACAAAAACAGGGAAAGGAAGCAACAAGGCCCGGGCCCTCCCGAAATCAGCGCTTCCTCGCGAATCAGGAGGAGGCACCTGCTGGTCACACACTTTGCTTCCAGTATTCAGAAAGTTGCCGTAACACTCATGTCATTAGAACAAGGTGCTGCATGGCCATCTGCTGGGAAATTGTGGTCATAAAGTACAATGTCTGTAATGAGCACCTTAGAGTGATTCCCTGGCACAGTGTACACACCCCACGGCTTCAAACAGGCCCTGGAGTGTCTTGTTCTCTCATTTGTATTCACGCCTGGGGCTGAACCTCAGCCTTGGCCATAAGCTAGTCCTACAGCGAGTTCTGCAGCGGTCTTGACCTTCTCCCAGACCCCATAAATGCGGGCTGTCAGTCTCGCGGTGAGGGGGTGTGGCTAGCCCCATGCTGCCTCTCCCGACGTTGGACAATCAGGTCTGAACTTACAAACCATAGGGACTGGGGATGGAGATAGAATTCTAAACTTTTGAAGACCAAAAAAATAAAAAAAAAGTAGAGAGCCAATAGAAGTAAAATCTGCAAAATGAAAACAAATGGGCTTTTCCCTTAGAAAAAGTAAAGTACCTTGGGGGGGGGGTGTTTAAACTCCAATTCTCCTGTGGTTTAGGAACCCTTTCTGGGTGATGGCCACTGACCAGTGCGGTCGGGCTCCCATGATGCCCCCTGACCCTGTGGCTCTCTGATGCTGGGACAGCCCTCTCCTCCCACCACACCCCCACCCCCAGGACCCCACCTGCAGAAGCTCGATCACAAAGATCAGAGGCTGCGGCTCCTTCTGCAGCTCATCCAGGTCCTCGTAGCCCAGCGTGTGGTAGGCGAACATGTTAGCCAGCCCACACGTGTGCACGTGCCACTCCGTGGGGTCCTTGCCCTCCGCCATCTGCCGTAAGCTCCGGGACAGGATGGGGTAGACCCCCGTGTGCTGTGGGAAAGACAAGTGCATGGCATTGGGGCTGTCCACTCAGAGCTAGCTGGGCCTCAACAAGCACCCACTCTGAGCCCCCCCGGCAGCACCCCACTGCCCCTCTACACTTCCCCATGGCTATGACCACCTATTGCCCCCACTAATAGCTGCAGGTTACCGAGCAAAGCACTCTATGTCTGTTAGCTCCTTCATCTTTAAAGTGGCCCAACAAGGGAGGCACCACTATTAACCCCCTTTTACAGATGAGGAAACTGGAGCCCAGAAAGATTCAGTAACTTGCCTAAGGTCAAACAGCTTGAAAATGACAGAGCCATGATTCACACTATAACCGCAATGACTCGCTGTGACTGGTGGGCCCCTGCAGTCAACTCTAGTGAGTTTCTCTCCCTAGGAGACCCCGAGTCCACCAAGCCTGTGACTCACAGGGAGACAGCGGGAGGGGCAGGGCTCTGGGTTCGAGAGGGCCGGGTTGGCTTCTGACAGTGTTCTGACGGACAGTGAACCTGGCCACCGCCTACCCTGAGCCCCAGTTCCCCCATCCCTCACTGCACCTGTCCAGTCCTAGGGCTGTTGTAGGGCTTAAATGAGATGGTGTGGATATAGGTCCAGCTCACCACAGCCTCAGCCAGCTCAGGGAGCTGAGACTGTCACCCTTGAGGTAGAGGAACCTGGGAAAGGCAGCCTCATGGCCTCAGGCCCAGCCTGGGCCTCAGCTCACCCAGCTGGGGACCCCCGTCCTTGGGCTGGGTCCTGACATGGCCCATCTCAGGCCCCACGCGGCAACTCCAGGAAAGACACACCCCTGGGAAGTGAATGAGGCAGAAATGGTTCAGCTTGGCCTCTGGGTCACCGGCATGAGGATGAAGGTCACCCTCTCCCTGCCCCCACCAGCCAGGATGAGCCCTGAATGCCCTCGGCTTCTTTGGGAGAGGTGACCAGATGGCGGGTAAGCCTGTTGGGATTAGGGCTGGCCTGGGGGGGGAGAGGCCCCGGGACCAGCATACCGCAGGGAAGAGGTACTCCTGGCCCTGCCGCCGCAGCCCCGGCTCACAGCCCCTGCTTCCAGCAAGTCGCCTGCGAGCAGTGGACCCCAAGGTCAGGCGACATTTAGGCCATGACTTCAAAGGCCTTGTCCCACTGGACACTGGCTGCCCGAGTACCGCCAGGGCCTGGTCAGCATGGTGGGCTGTGGGATGCCACCAAGAGTGACATGAAATGTCAGGAAGGAAGATACAGGCCAGAGAAGGGGCAGAACTCCAGAATCCCACCCGCTCCGGGCAGCACCTCACAGGACGGAAGGAGGGTGGAGACCCCAGCTCTGCGCCCACTCTGCAGGCCAGCAGGGCAGCCAGAGTCACGGGCACTCCCTGGAGCTAGACTCCAGCCCTTGGCACCCACTCAGCCCACAGGGCTGTGACTGGGGCAGCCCACCCCACTGCCTCTCTCTGGGGCTCAAGGACAGAGCCTGGTTCCGTCTGAGGGGCTGTCTACACTGGAGTTTGCACACTAGCATGCTACAGGCCTATTCAGCTCCCAAACTGGTATGTTTCACCCCTCGTACTGTAAGGGTTTTTATTAACTAGGCGCCCAGATTTAAGCATCGAGAGAGATTACATGCTAACGAAGATTTCGGGTTCGTCTCAAACACTCGAAAGATCCAGCTTCACATGCCAACTGTCCAGTGGGAGCTGAGGGCCGACGATCTCCAGTCAGCCAGGGTTCCTGGCCCCTGTGGAACCTTAGCTGGCTACCCCTGGCCTCATAAGACGGCACAAGCAAAAATCCCACATAGAAACCAGTGTCCTCCCTACGGGGTGGGAGCCAGGGGGCAACAGAAAGGGATTATTTCGGGGCAGAAGCTCCCAGAGCCCCTGACTCACTCTGCTCCTCTGGTTTAGGGGAGGGAAGGGGAGGGAAGAAGGCCCCTGCTCCTGCAGAGACCTAAACTTCAAGGTGCTCCGGTGAGGACTGTCCAAGAAAAGGGCTCTGCAGGGAGTGATGAGCAGCAACTGCTGGGGGAAAACCAGGCCTCTTAAGTCCTTTGTCAAATAAACATGCTTGCCCCACTGATCACTTTGTCTTTCCAAAACTCAGATTCTGAAGTGAAGTGATGTCCCATAACAGAGAAGGGCCAACTCAATGCAACCTGCCTAGTGTTTTCACACTTCCTGGCCTGGGTGCTGACTCTCATCCCACTGCTAGACCTAGTGAACTCCTATTCATCCTTCAACACCCAGCTCAATGTCATCTTTGTTAAGCAGTCCCCTAAGGCCCAGAGCAGTTAGTTACCCCTCTCCGGTGGCCCTAATGCACTCTGTCCTTACTGAATGATGCCACAGTGCTGGCGGTTCTGCTCTGTATTTGCTGAGGTGTCTGCTTCTCCTCCAGAATTCGAGTTCCTTGAAAGCCAGGGATTTTGCCTGTTTTACTCCTAACCCCCAGACAGGACAAATCCAGTGTTCAGTGAATATTTTCTAGATAGATAGATAGATAGATAGATAGATGATGGGTAGATGCTTAATAATGGAAGAGAGATTATGAATAACATTGGTTGAAAGATGGGATGGATGAATTGATACCTGAGTGTGTGGATGGATAGAAGGATGAATAAAGGGTGGATGTATAAGCAGGTAAATGACTCAGGAAGGGGTGTGTGTGTGTGTGTGTGTGTGCGCGCGCGCACGCGCGTGGGTACAATCATGGCAGCTGTGGGCTCAGAGATGTGGAGGGCTACTGGAAAAGCCAACAGTCAGTGTGGTATAAAAGTCACCAGCCTGTGAGACGGGCGGTGCATTCATGTGACTCTTGATGTGGCCAAAAGAAGGCAGACACCGCAGGAATGACAGAGTCACACGACATTGCAGGAATGACAGCAGCTGTGGTTTTGCAAACAACAGATCAACCAACCAATCAAGGACCCACTGACAGCCGTCTATGCAAACCTGTGTCAGTAAACATGTATATGGAGAGGGGCCCTTGTGGTGACCAAGCCGCTAACATGTGGCCTAAATTGTAGGTTCATATCGATTTTATTTATTTATTTTCTTTATTGATTTTAGAGAGAGGGAAAGATACATCGATGAGAGAGAACATCGACTGGCCGCCTCCTGCATGCCCCCGACTGGGGATCTGGTCCACAACTTGGACATGTGCCCTGACCGGGAATCGAACCAGTGACCTCTTGGTGCATGGGTCGATGCTCGACCACTGAGCCACACCAGCCAGGCTGCATATCGATTTTAAAAGTGCAAGAGCTCCTCGTTGTCAGCAAAGTCAATAGATAGTATTTAAAACTAATTGAAACCACAAAGAAGCCCATTGTCTGAAGACTTGACTTATTAAAAAATAAAACGTATTTTTAGGAATTTAAAATATCAGGATGAAGAGCAACACAGGGACTGGTACAAAGGAAAAATGTTGAACGAGTATCTGGTAAGTGGATGAAGAAATGAATAACGCATTGGCTGGGATCCCCTAGTGGTAGAGGACGGCGTTGCAGCCTGACTCTACTAAGACACTGTTAGGAGAAACAGACACTGGTTAAGGAGTGAAGGGAGCAGGGTCCCCACCCTGATTCTGTCCCTTAACTGTTCCATCCAGTGCAAGTTACTTTCCTTCTCTGAGGCTTAAGTTTCATCATCAGTAAAATGAGGGAGTCAACTGCCCCATACCATGAATAGCCCTGGTGTACATCCTACCTCTAATCCCTGTAACAGCCCCTTACATAGGAACTGGTTTATATTTAAATGAGGAATTAGACTTCCAGAAGGGAGATAGTACTTTCCAGGGTCACACAGTTAACAAAGACAGAGCAAAGTTCAAACTCGGTGCCTCTCTCTCTCTCTCTCTCATTGCTTTTTTGAAAGGTCCATGTCCCTGGTGAAATAATGAGTCTGGGCATCCACCATCCATAGCTGCTAAATCCAGCAGGTGACAGTCAAGGCTGTCACTATCTGAGCCCATCAATCAATCCCACCATCACAAGAAGAGGGGTAAGCGGACATGGAGTACCTCCCAATGGGAAGCACACAGCACAATTTCTAGAAAATGCTTGTTAGTAGAGGAACATGTTAGACAAGTATTCCTGGCGAAGCAACCCACAAAATCAAAATATGAGAACTTCTCCAGGAAGACTGACCCAATCCCTCCTAAAAATCCATGTCAAGGGGAAAAGGGGGCAGAGAATCCATGGATAAAAAGAGACTTGAGAGACATCAACAAAGCTCTGTGCATGGACTTTGTCTGGATCCTGATATGAACAAATCAACTTGAAAGAGTAAATGAAGCCACAACTGGAGAAATTTGAACAGTGACCGGATAGCAGTTGGCATTAAGGAATTACTGGTGTTTTTAAAAGATGTCATCACGATATTCAGGTTATGTTTTTAATCTTTTTAGAGATGTTAGTTCTAGTACTTACAGATTAAATGATGTGGTATCTGGAATGTGCTTGAGCCACATGGGATGAGGAAGGGACGTGGACGGGGAGAGATGGGACAAGACTGGTCGTGGGGGGAGGCTGGCATTGGGTGACGGGTTCCTGGAAGTTCAGTATACTTTCGTCAACTTTTTATGTGTTTGAAAGTTTCCATAAGAAATGAGTGTTTAACGATCAGTGAGTTTTGCCGTTGCTACCTGAGCCGCAGAACAAGGAGACTAACGTGCATGGGTGATTTGCAGGAATGCATGGATGTGAAAACTATCTTGCGATGTTAGAAAAGTGGACAGGGGGGCAGAAGAGTGACCAATGGCCAAAGGTCTCCGGGATCTAACAATCCTGCAGAAGTGAGGACTGTGGGGTGGGCAGGCTCACGCTTCCAGGGCGTGGCCCTGCGCCCACATTCGCACCAGCCGGCCACGACCCTGATCGTCACTTCCGGGGATTTTGAATGAATCCATCTCTGGCTTTACGGTGGCGGGAAGTGAGTTCTGTTTTACTGCCACTTTCCTGAAATACGGCCGCCCTGCAAAGGGGGTGGGGGGGCCCTGCAGAAAGCAAATCCAGGGAACGGCCAGCACGGCCTACTTACGATGTTGTCACACCAGAACTCGGCCACCTCGCTGACCCGCATGGACGTCAGTAGGATCTCCCAGACCTCCAGCTTGAACATGTTCCCAATGATGATGTGCATGGGCCGGCCCACCTGCTTGCTGTCGTCTATCACCGTCCGCTCCTCATCGCACTTCATGGTGCGGAAATGAAAGGTCACCTGGTCGCCAAGAGAGTGGACTCTGGTCTAGACATGCCTCCCAAGGCCCAGAAGAAGGCACCCCACTGTCACCAACTCTCAAGGCTGTCTCAAAGGTCAGCTCACCCAACCCCACTCAGATGCCTCAGACCCCCAGAGCAGCCCAGCCTGCCCCAGGGATGAGGATCCCGCTCCCTCCTAAATGACCGCATCCTGCTCTTGACAGCTCTGTGGGTCTAGATGTCCTTCCTTAAATAAGCCCTAAATCCGAGGCCACAGACACAGCCACTCCGTCACCCAGGGAAGCCCACCAGAGATTTACGGCCAAATACCATGACCCCTGAGGGCCCCTCCTTCTCACTCAACAGTTGGGGCTCCAGAAAATTCCCAAGGCCCTTTCCCCATCCCATGCTGCGGTTCAATTTGCAAAATATCAAAAATGCCCAGTCAATGGGCCGAGTCAGAGCGTCCCCGATGCCTCAAGGTTGATAATTCCAGGAAGGGCCTGCCCAGTCATTTTTTGGCAAAGTTGAAACCTGTCTGCAGTGCCATGTAGCCCAGCGGGAAGCAGGGGCTGCTGCGGAGGGTCCCTATCTGGTCTGGGGGGATGGGCCCCACTTACCCGCGATCCGGTGATGAAGTTTGGGGGCTCCCCCGTGCCCCCGTGCAGAATGGTTTTCTTGATCCCTTCCACGTTCAGGAGCAGAGCGGCATCCATGGCTCCAGGTGGAGGAAGATGTCCAGCCCAGGCTGAGATAATCTCACGGGGAAGGCACTCAGGCTAAGACGGGGATTTGCCCTGCGGGAGGGGTGTGAATTAGAGGAGTTAAGTAGGTAGCCCCAAGCTGGCCCCAGGCTGCTCCTCGGGGCCACTCCAGGCCACCTAGCCTTCCATCCCATTCATCCACTGCTTCTCATAGGGACGCGAGGCCCCTGCCTGACTTTACTGCACGGGCATTGGTCTGTGCCACCTCAGGAAGAGAGCAAGCCGGCTGGAGCTTTCTTAAAGAAGACGGCTGCGAGGAAACTCGCAGTGGAGAGGCCTCGGGCCCTGAAGGAGAGGAGGAGAGACTGACCCGAGCCCCTCAGCCCTGCCTGCTCCCTGGTGCTGGCCCTGGTCTCAGATTCCTAGTCCTTTTGAACCCTAGACCGAGGCCCTGTGGTCTTTACGGTCCCTGTCTTCCCTCCTTCCTATTTCCCCTCCTCTTCTCCCCAAAGTCTATCCACCCACAAGAGCATGCGCCATTGCTGAAGGAAGAGTGGCAGGCTTCCAGCTTGGGAGAACCCTAAACGGAGTAAGAGAAGCAGGGGGCAGACTTGGAGAAATTTGGGGAGCCCTCCACAACCCCACTCCAGCCTCCCCTACAAGGTCTGGCTGGAGCAGCGGGGTCTCCTGTCCCCTTTGGAGAGTCTCTGCCCCGTGCACTGGGACCCAGGCAGAGCTTCATGGGTCCCCTTTGTGGGCTAGTGAAAAGAAACATGTGACGACTTGGTGTTTGGCGCCACCTTGTGGTGAGTTCAGATTTTTGTACTTGGGCTGTACAAGGTCCTGAGGGTGATGAGGATTCTGAGCACAGCACCTTTCTCTTCTGGACCCCGGACTGACTGGTTTCCTAGAAGGGGACACAGAGCCCTGACACAGGGAGAGCTGAGAATGCTGGAGGAGCCAGCCAGAGCTGCACTCCAAGGGCAATTCCACCTTATTTCCTGACCTTGTGGCCTTAGGCATCTCCTATCCCTAGCTCCATTTTTCCAACTGAAGAGGAAAAATCAGTCTTTTCTGCCTCCCTCTCCTGGAAGTTGAGAGGCCTCCCTAAAGCAGTGAATGGGACCCCGAAACCCAGAACCCCTGGACGTCTCCCATGAGGAGCGGTTCGTATCGAGGAGGCCCAGCCTGGGTTAACTGGTCCGGGCCCAGGAGCCCAAACTGGGCCAGCAGATCAGGCCCCTCCAGGACTCCTCCCTGAGTGCTCAGATCCCCCCTTCCTGAGGGCCCAGCTCCATTCCTCTCTGGAGGCAGGGAATCGGGGTGCAGGGTGCAGAGGCCCCTCCTCTTCTGTTCCATACACAGCAACCTAGAGCAGTCTGCGTGCAGAGGAGACAAAATGAAAACTAAGAAAAAGGGACGTTATTACCATAAAGTCCTGGCGGGGGTGCACACAGCAGGGGGCAAGACTGCTTCTGGGGTCCCAGCGATGTTCTGTTTCTTCGCCTGGTGACAGCAGCATGGCTGTTCGCTTTGTAAGTATTCATCATACTAAGCTTCAGGTTGTACGCATTTTTCTGCCTGCTGTTGTTCACACTGGAAGGAAATGATCTAATGTCTCACACTTAAAATTCTCCCCGTTTCAACTGCTTCCCTTCGTAGAAGGTCAGAGGGTGAACACACAGGGGCTGCAGAGTTCTCGAGAGGAGGCAGACCTGGTCGACTGGGGCCTGGGTGGCAGAGGGGCGGGCATGAGGAGAAGGTGTTGAAGCTCATGCCAGTGGTTTCAGGCTCACTGCTGAGAAGAGTAAGGTGCTCAGGCCACCGCCTCCAGACAGACTCTCAGCCACCACTTGGCCCCCAAACTAACCTCCTAATGAACTTCATTCAAATGCAACTCTGATGACCCCACTCCCTCTGCAGATTCAGCCAAGGCTTCCCACTGCCCTGCGGATAAGTTCAGGAGCCCTGCAGCTCCTGGCTCCTGCCATCCGGGCCCTGCCCTCTCCGCCTCACTCAGCCTCCTCTGGTCCTGGGACCTGGCAGTGCTCTGGCCTCCCAGCATTGGCCTCACCCTCGCTTTGTCCCCCTAAGTCCTTAGCTACAACCCATATGCTAAGGGCGGCCTGCTCTGACCCCCAGCTCATGTATGGTTTCCACCCCCTTTACCTCCCCTCACCACCCCTAGCATTTCCCATTCATGGGATGTTGCAGTTTGATGTCCACTGCTTCCCTCAGACTGACAGTCCCATGAGGACAAGAAAACTGATGGAAGTTTTGCTGTTGGACAGGGAGCCCCCAGGGCAGGGGGGGGCAGGACCCCAGAAAGCCTCTGCTTGTAGCAACTGACTGGTTTTCCTCCTTACAAGGAGGAGCGGGAGCCCCTGTACCCTCCACCCCTCCACTAGGAGTCTGCTCACCTCAGCACATCCTCCACCCCCACCCACTGGCTCCACCAGCCAAGCAAAGGCAGAAGGAGACAGCCTTCTCATTCAGAAGAAAATGTTTCTGTCGCCTCTTCTCGTTGCCATGGAAACTGCTCTTCTTTCACCTAGCCTGCCAGTTACGGTTCTGGGGTTGGGGGGGAGCCCCAGGCAGGGAGGGCATTCACTCAGTCCTTCCTGATGCTTGAGGAGACCGTGCAGCCAAAGGTTAAGAATGCAGGTGTTGACACCCAGGGTTTCAGCCTCCACTGAGCAAGACAGCACCCATGTGAATCTCGGTTTCATCTTCCGTAATGGGAATAAAAATAGTATCTACTTCATGGAGCTGCTGTGAGGATTAAGGAAGAATAAAGAAATGCAGTTGGCACACACATGGTAAGGGCTGGACAGACACAAGCTGTTGCATCGATGAATGTGACATGCCAGACATGCGACAGGTGCTGATTGACACTGTGGTCAGACGATCCAATTTGAGAGACTTGTTTCTGAGTGTTCCACTTTCACTAGTCTTTCTCACACTTTCAATTTAGTTTTTCCTAAAAAAAATTACTCTGGCCCTAGTCAGTGTGCTCAGTGGTTATAGCATCAGCCCACAAACCAAAGGGTCGTGGGTTCGATTTCCAGTCAAGGGCATGCATCTGAGTTGCAGGTTTGATCCGGGACCCAGTTGGGGTTGAGCGGAAGGCAACCAATCAATGTATCTCTCTCACATCACCTCTCTCTCTCTCTCTCTCTCTCTCTCTCCTCTCTCTCTCTCTCTCCCCCCTTCCCTCCCTTCCACTCTGTCTAAAAACCTATGGAAAAATATCCTCAAGTGAGAATTAAAAAAATAAAAACATAAAATTGTTTGTTTCAGTTGCACATACGTGTGTTTTGGATACTGGTCCCCTTGAATGTGATAGTCCCTGTGCAAGGAAACCCCACACACGCAAACACAGACAGTCTTTGCTTGATTAACTCATTCTCTAGGTCTCAGCTTTAAATGACATGATTCTTGCATCATAATTTTTTTTGATTAATTGATCACTCGATTCATTAATGTTCATTTCTCCCTTCACACTACATTTGAGCTCCATTGGGGTAAGGATGCATTTGTTTTATTGATGTGGATCATTTTTAAAAAAAATATTTTTATGGCCCTGGCCGGTTTGGCTCAGCGGTTAGAGCGTTGGCCTGCGGTCTGGAGAGACCCGGGTTCGGTTACCGCTAAGGGCACGTACTTCGGTTGCAGTTTGTCCCCGGCTCTGGTTGGTCGTGCGGGTGGCAGCCACTCGATGTGTCCCTTCACGTCGATGTTTCTCTCACTCTCTCTCCCTCCCACTCTATCTGTACAAAAAATGGAGGAATGTCCTCGGGTGAGGATAAAAAATATATATATATATTTTTATGGATGTTTAGAGAGAGAGATGAAGGGAGAAGGAGAAACACTGATGTGAGAGGGGAACGAACATCAGCTGCCTCCTGCACGCCGCCTACCAGGGATGAGCCCAAACCTTTCAGTGCAGAGGACACTGACCAGGGCGGTGGCCCATTTTTAGCACAGTGTTTAATCTCTCAGACACCAGTGGGTGTTTGGAAGGACATGAGCGAGGGGACATGGGGAAGGAGGAGGAGGGCTGGGAGAGACCAGGTGATGTTCGCTGGGGTGTTGGATTAAGGTGCCTGCAGGGCCCGGGAGGATTTGGGTCTCCAGGAGGTGTTAAATATGCCCCTCTGGGAGAGGCGCAGGCTGAGAAGAGGCAGTGTGGGTGGTGTCGCGGCACATGGACCCTGGTCCCAGACTGGCAACGTTTGTATCCTTGGCCCTGCTACATACTAACTGAGGAAAACTGGGAACCAACATAACCTCTCTGCACCTGAGCCTCCTCACCTAGTCATGGACTGCACGGAGAAGCAAATGAGCTCATAATATAAAGTGCTTGGTGCACAGAAAGTGCCCCATATATGTTCATGGTTCCTACCATCCCTTGCAGGGGGTGGGGAGGAGAACTGAGGCCAGAGAGGTGGGTGTGATCACCCAGAGATGAAGAAGAGACTAAGGACGGAGCTACCAGGAGCCCCATCAGCAAGAGTGGCCAGAGAGGAGAGGAGTCGGGGGACCAGATGAAGATGGCAGCAAGAAAACCCAGGATGGAGTGGCCAGTGAGGCTTTGAGGCCCCCTAAGGGGCGGGGGTGGCTTTCTAAATGCTTTTTTGGAGGTTATGGGAAGAAAGGGAGGCATTTAACTAGAGAGAGGGGAGGGGTCCGTGAGCCGGGGGCGGGAGCCAAGGGGTGTAAGGAGAGAGCGGAGGTGTACTCCCCTCTGCCCCCTCTTCCAGGACGGGTTTTTAGGGTGCAGAACGAGGGTGGCGAGAATGGGGAACCAGAAGCGCAGTGCTTTGTTTCTGGACGGCAGAGGGTCAAGAGGGAAGTTTGAAACAAAACCTCCACGGGAATTCAGGCCCCGAGTTCTCTGCGACAAAACCAGTGAGACTTCCAGGCAGAATGGGAGGGGACGCTGGAGGCCCGGGACCCCGCCTCCGCCCCGCCCAGTAAGACCAGCCCGGCCAGGGCCTGGGAGTCCCGGAGGGGGCGCGGGCGGGACCCGCGGTACAAAGGCGGACAGCGTCGCGCCGCACCCAGCCCCGCGGGGGTCCTAGGGGTGAATGGGGCGACCGAGCAAATCTGAGAGCAGGATTCACGGCCGCGAGAGCAGAGAGCCAATAGGATCCCAGGTTCGACGGAGAGGCGGGGACGGAGCCAATCAGCTGTGAGGACAGGGCCAGGGGGCGGATCCGCGCGGAGTTTCAAATCGGCTGGGGTGGGCGAGGTGCGTCTGCGCTGGGCGTCTGTCCGGTGGACGCGGGAGCTTTGGGTGAGTGCAGGCCGGAGCGAAGTGGGGCTTCTATTCAGAAAGGCAGGGCCTGGGGGGCGCGGGGCTGTCTCGTTAGGACAGGCACGCGTGTGGGCGTCTGGGTATTGCACGGTGGAAATGGGGGGCTCCGGCCAGCCGGCCAGGGTCTGGACCGAGCAAGTTGGGTCCGGGCGAGCTGTGAAAGGCTCTGGTCGTGCACTGGGCCCATTGCTGAGGCTGGAGGAGGGCCGCTCCCGACTCTGCCTCCCAAGCCTGCCTGGGGCGACGGCGGTGAGGAGGCTGGGAAGAAAAGACAGCTGTTTGGGACGTTCACAGCAAGGGACTGCAGGAAATGCTGAACAGCCTTGTTCAGCCTCTGCCCTCCTCTGGGCCTTGACGACCACCACCCCACCCCGTTCAGGAGCCATACTCCTCCCACACCCCCAGTTGCCAAGTGCACCCCTTCTTAGCCTGGGCCATCCACCCCATCCCACGGACCTCCATCCCACCTCCTCCCTGGTACTCAGGGTCTCTGGGGAGCCTGGAAATGGGATGGAGGATGCCTGGCTCACCTGCCTTTTGACTTCCTCCCCAGGGTTTGGTGAACAGAACAGACTTGGCCTGGCAGATGGCCTCTCGCTGGCCCAGTGTGAGCACGTCCGTGCGCAGGAGATCTCTCAGGGACCAGGAGCAGCTGGAGGAGAACGAGGTGCTGCAGCCTGCACCTGGCCACCTGGAGACCTCCAGCAGAGCCCTGGGCTCCCTCTGTAGACAGTTCCAAAGGAGGTTGCCCCTGAGAGCAGTCAGCCTCAACCTAGGGGCGGGCCCCTCCTGGAAACGCCTAGAAGCCCCAGAGCCAGGGCAGCAGGGCCTCCAGGCTGCGGCTCGCTCAGCTAAGAACGCCTTGGGTGCTGTGTCCCAGGTAACGCTGACCATGTCCAGGTCAACTGCTGGAGAACTGCTGCCCTCAGGAGCCCCCGAGAATAGAGACTCCATGAAGACAGGGACACTGATTGGTTCATTGCTGTGTCCCCAGCACCCCAAACATTTCCTGGCACATAGTAGGTGCTCAACAAATAGCTGAGTGAGTGAAAACAGTGTCGTGGAGGAAACATCCTCACAATACAAGCTAATAGAACTGTATTGTGATGGCAATTGAAAGCAAGTGGCTGATGATGGCAGGGTACCAAAAACCAGCTTAGTCAGTGAAGGCTTCCCAGATGAGGAGAGTCCATGGAATTCACCCAGGACCCGAGAAGAATGAGGCGCGGATAAGATAGATGAAATAGCTGAGGGAGAGCAGAAGAGAGCAAGGAGGGTAGTGGGGGGAGGGCAGTCCAGTGTGCTGAAGGTGTTTAGACACTCCTAAGAGAGACTGGTAGTCCTGGGAGCCAGTGGGAAGAATTCACAACAGGGTGGGAATCGTGTCTAATTAGCATATGAGAACTTGGTCTTTCACTACTTGGTGGAAAAGGGGTTAGAAGCCGAGTCTCCCGGGAGGGGGGGCTGGGGTCCTGCCTTGCAGAGGAGTAAACAACTTCAAGGCTGCGCAGAGGGGAGATTTGAGAGGGCTGGGTGTCAGATGAGAGGTGTGGGCAGGAATATGCCATTTATGTTGGGTGTGAGGTGCCTGTGGCCTTCCAAGTGGATGTGTCTTCAGCCCTAGAGCTGTATGGAGGTGTTGCCTAGAAAGGACCGAGGCCATGAGAGTGAACAGACCTCCAGGGAGAGAACTGGGGTGGGAGTGGGGGTTCTCCTTGGTATCTGATTGGGAATCTGAAGATACGGGAGAAGGAAGATGTTTCTGGACCCTTTGTAGAGAGGGCTCTGAGCCAAGTGTTCATCCGTATCTAGAACCCTATGAGTTTGATCCCCCAGATCAGAGACGAAACGAGGTAGCCTGCCCAAGGTCACATAAGTCACCAAATGTGACTTGGGTCTTGCTCTAAGGACTCTGGACTCTGGTTTGCCCAGGCAAAGACAGTCTAGCTGGGGAACAGCCTTCACAGCCCCCCTCTCCCCCCCACACACACACACACACTGGTGTGAACGGTTCAAGCCTTAGGACTGGACTCTGGGTGACGAGCAGCCTTGGAAGGGTATTGAGTTGTGTCATGATAGAACTACCCTTGAGAAGGCTCTCTGTGCATCCGTGTGGAGGATGCAAGACCAGAAGCAGGGGGACAAATTATCTTACAATATCCTGGGGGGTAGGCTTTGCCCTGGAGTCTCTGGGTCAGTCTGTGTCTGAAAGAGGGTTGGACTTTGGCAAACGGAGGCTCTGTGAGCCAGAGTGGTTCTGCTGCTAACCACTGCACTCATACGCTGGGGGCTCTGAACCGGGTCCCTGCAGTGGACCCATGTCACATGGCATCACCCCTGTCCCTCACCCTTGAGACTGAAAGCTGCTTGTGCACGGACGGCTGATGGGTGGAGGGGTCGGAGGTGTGGCTCACGCTCGGCCTGTGATCACATTTCCACGTACCTGTCAGAGAATCCAGGAGTCCTGCCAGACTGGCACCAAGTGGCTGGTGGAAACCCAGGTGAAAGCCAGGAGAAGCAGGAGAGAGACGCCGAAGGACAGCAGCCCCCACGCTCGCAGCCTGAGCCAGAGGAGCACCCGCTTCTCTGGAACCACCCCTGCCCGCTCAACTCCGGGCCCCTGGGAGAGGGAGCGGCACCGCCTCTCCACCCAGAGGGGCCCGCGTGCCCACCCGCTGCGGAGGTCCAGGAGGGAGGCCGCCTTCCGGAGCCCCTACTCCTCCACGGAGCCCCTCTGCTCCCCCAGGTAGGTGGAGGAGTGCCTTGCCCCCAGCACTCATGGGAGCCAGGGGCCCCCTGAGCTGAGTCACATCCATGTTCTAGCCCAGCTCTGCCCCCTGCTGGCCAGGGACCTAGGGAAGTCTCCAGGGCCTTAGTCTCCCCACCTGTAAAGGAAAGGGTGAGCTTAGCTCTGCTCCTCCACACTCTCCCAGCTCCTGGTGAGCCGAAACGCCCGTTTGGAAGCCATCTTGAAGCTGAGACTCGTGTGGGGAATGGCAGGGCTCACTTTTCTACAGGATCACCTTCCCTTGACCTTGACCTCATGAGCCTTGATCCATCTGTTCTCTGCTCCAAGTTGCTCCGATGTCACTCCCCGGAGCAGCCTTGGTGATGCCCAGCCCCCACTGACCCCAGACTGCAGAGCTGAGTTGGGGGGGGGGACTCCTGCCACAGGTTTCCTGCTAGTCACTGGGGCCCGTGGCTTTTCCTTCTGTGCAGTGAATCTGACAGTGACCTGGAGCCTGTGGGGGCGGGAATCCAGCATCTCCAGAAGCTGTCCCAGGAGCTGGATGAGGCCATTATGGCTGAAGAGAGGTAAGCTGCCATCCCCATGCTTCAAAGCAGCAGGGTCCCCTTTGGAGGCGGGCCTCTGGTTCCGGCTCCGGCCCGCAGTGTGACCCTGGCCAGTCCCGCCCCTTCTCTGAGCCTCAGTTTCTTCCTCTGCAACATAAGACGGGACGAAAGACCTAGATTGTAGAGGTGGTTAAGGATGCTCCCTGGATATACATGGTCCTCTGGGCCTCGGGTCCCCATCTTTGTCCATCACCTGGAACGTCACCAGGCACCTGAAAGACCTGCCCTGCCTCCAACACTCCCCATGGAGTTGCCCTGCCCACCCGTGGAACTGGGGACAGCTGCAAGGCTGCAGGAGTTCCTGGTCTGTCTGCTCAGGACCCCACCCTTAGGGCAGGGCCTGGGTCTGGAGCCGCCCTAACTTGGGGCCGTTTCTACGTGGCCCTGATGAGCTCTTAGGTGGCTCCCTGCCAGCTTTGACGATATGCCAAGTGTGCCAAGTTCCCGCCGTGTTGCCAGGTCTGATCTTATCTAGTCCAAGCTGGGAGGGCCCTCAGAGCCTGCAGCACCCAGTGGCATCTGTCTCTCCTGCTTTCCCATCTCCAGGGGTGACATGACCGTTTCTCTCATTCGTGACTGAGGACAGTGCCCTTCAGGTAATGCCATCCTGCCAAGCATCCTTCTCCGCACCCTCTTCCTCCCCTCCTCCTCCTCCTCGAGCACATATGTGTATTTGGAGGCCTGGTAAAGAACTGAGTCTCCTGGAAAAACCCACAGAGCTGATACCCGGCAGAGTAGGAAGCATGCGGTCTTCCTACCAGCTCAGACCTGAGCTGCTGACCTTACCGACCCCACCACCTTCCAGCTCTCATTTTGGGGGAAGGCGATGGTGTCCTGGGGCACGAAGGGAGCTCTGTCTTGCAGGAAGCAAGCCGTACCTGACCCCCATGCCCCACACCTAAGATCCGTGCCTCCCGCCCCCTGAGTCCTGGAGGAACCCCCGGAGCTGGCAGTACCGCTGGGCCACCGCTGACAGGACCTGACTAGCAAAGGCCCAGTGGAGGCTGCTTGGGGGTCTCTGCTCTCCTGCTCCGACCACATCTGAGCCCAGCAGAGACCACCTGCCGCAGCCCAGGAGTGACTCGGAGAGACTGAGGAGACCTGCAGCATTCATCCCACTCCCTTTGGGCTTTGAAGCGCACCCCACACCTGAGCCTTGGGGTTGCCGCTTTCACACATGAAAGGCAGGCTTCAGAAGGTGTTGGAGAGCGCTGAGCTGTGCGCCCAGGAGTCACCCCATGTTTCCAGTGCCCGGCTGTTGGGAACCAGCTCCTGTCTCCGCTCCAAAAAAAGGGATGGGAGAGATGTCCAGGCTGAGCCCTGGGGCCCACGGGTACCTATTTATGTTCTCAGCACCGGGCACTGTGGGTGGCAGGGAGGAGTAGCCGTGCTCAGTAGCAATCTCTGCCTTCTGGAAATTATTTAAGAAACCGGCTTTGTCATTTTATTAGGAAGAAATCAGTGCATAACGTCCCTTGCTAATGTTGCCCTTCTGTAATAAAGACTCTGTATTTGACATCTCTTCTCTGTCGCCACCCCCCCCATGCCACTCAGGTCTGTGGTTTGGGGCCAGGCTTTGTCCCCCTCACCCACCCCCACTCCCAGCACCGGCTCAGGGAGAACAGAGCTGACGGGAAAGGTGTCTCAGCTTCATTCAGAGCAAAGCACATTTTAAAGGCAAATAAGGTTTTTATTTAAGTGACAACGTTGAAGAGTTAAAAACCAGCTCACATCAAAATCAAGACCAGTTGTAAAAATCTTTTAACTCTGTAATGCTGTTTTGTCTTGTTAGAAATCTGATATTTTACATTTTCGTTCCTAACGGATTTTGTACAAGGCAGCCATGAGGCACAGAATAAACTTTCCACCATGGAACCATCCACCACAGATAATACTGGGAGTCACACACTTAGGAACAGTCGGACCACAGACACGGTCAGACAGGCTGCCACCACGGAGTAAACAAATAGAAGGACGGAGGGGTCCGAGGGTGGGGGTCCCCGTGAGTGAGCCTCCCTCCTGTCCTGCCCCTCTTTGGTGTCACCTGCCACTCCCTGTCCCCACCAGAGTGGGGTCTGACTGATAACTTATCTCAGCCACCCTCTTAGTTTCTCAGCAAAGAGAGCAGGACCCAGACCAGGCCTCGCTGCTTGGACTTAACCCTAAGTATGATTTTTAAGAAAGTTCCCCTAAGCCCAGAGGGAGCAGAAGGAGGGAGGTGACTTCTTGTGGCAGAGCCAAAGAGATTGGTTTCCAGAGCACTTGGCACCCAAACCCCCAGGGTTCGGCGGGAAAGTTGGTTGTTTAAGGCGGGGCAGCTGCGAGGCTCCTTGGCAGGCTGGGCACCGCTCCGGGGCGGGGCGGGGCGGGCAGGGTGGGAGAGAGCCCACGCCCCACTGCGCTCTGCCTCACGCCCGCTTTCACTGAGACCCTGGTGCCACCTCAGTCTGCAGGACACTCCTGGGCATGGGTAGGGGGTCCAGAGTGGTCAAAGGAGTTATTAGAAAGCCATAGTCACTGCCTCCCTTTCCGAGAGCCCACACCCCCCCAAAAATCTCTCAATACTAGGGTTCAAAGATGTTTTCTCTAGCCGTGTCCAGGCAAGAGGGCCATTCATCCAAATGCAAAAAAGTCTCTTTTTTTTTAATGGTTTGCGGAGCCTAAGGGAGGAGTCGAGCTCTTCAGAAAAACCCATGATGCCAGATGCCAGAAGAGTAGCCCTGGCTGCGGGTGCACCCTGAACCCCCAACAGGGCAGACGGAAAGGGAGGCAGCAGGCAGGCCCTCCGGCAGGACAGCCACCAAACTGGGAAGACAAACATGCCACGTGAGAACAGGCAGCTTTGGCTGGGCGGGAAGATCCGTCTTCCAGCTCTGAGCAGCAGGCACACTGGGAGCTGGGAGGGTTCTCTAGAAAACAGCCGGACTGGGGTCACAGAACTACTTGGGGAGAGGCAGGGGCCCCCTCCAGAGAACATGACTTGGTTCTCTGTTTTTCTCCAACATAACTGAACAAACAAAATGGAACAAGCCACTAGTAGAGAAAGTGCATATTGGTTCCAGTTGCCGTGAGAACAGAACTGAAACCCACATTGTCTGAGTCTGGTCACTGCGCAGAACCACAGACGCACCCAGCAAAGCTCCATGAGCGCGTGTTCACAGCTCACTGTACACCTCCAGCATCTCAGGTGTGAGTCTTGGGAGCCCCAATCCAGAGCTCTAGAAAGGAAGGGGGTGGTGACCCTCCTGCCAGGTCCCGCATCCCAGCTCCAAACTCCCAAATCACAGAATCCTCACATGGACTCCAAACTCCCCCAGTGTCCCCATATGCTTTCTCGCTCCTGCTCCAAGCCTGGGGTTCTCAGGAAAGGCAGAAGCAATCGAAGAGGGGGAGCAGTATCTCACGCTAATTGTTTTATCATTTGAGAGGGATGCGTCAGTGGCTTCTGCAGATAACGGGGAGTTTCAGGAAATCAGAATAAGTCTTCCCACCTTTCATTCAGGGTGTTTTGGAAAGGAAGGGAAGGGCTGGGGATGAGGTGGCTAAGCCACATGAACTGGTGCCTACGGAGAGCCGAGAAAGGTCCTGTGAAGAGGAAGGTGAACTGCCAGGAGGCAGGACCAGAGAGGAAGCTGGGGGGTGATCACCCCTTCCCCAGAGACCTGCCAGCAGCTGGGCACCCCTGAAATGCAGGTGCAGGGCTGAAGGTGACGCAGAGAGCTGGCAGGCAGGTGGGCAGGTGCGGCAGGAGTGGGCAGACTGGAGAAGACACGTTTCTAGTAGAGAGAGCAGGGTTAGGGGCTGGGAGCCCGGACTCCTCCAGCCCCAGCAGGGTGCCCCGCTTGCCAGTGGTGCAAGCCGCCCCCACCAGCCGCAGCCATCGGGGAGGACTCTGGCCACGTGGGAGCTGCAAGAGGTAGACACTGAGCAGAAGCGACACTGAGCTGACGAGTGCCTGCTGTGTACACATGTCTGGGCCCTGGGGCGGCCTGGCCCAAGACACAGCCCCACTGAGAGAGCTGGACCGCCTCAGTGACGGCACGAGGGGCTCAAGGCTGGCCCGGGCTCCAGGAGACCAATGTCCAGGCCAAGGGCCTGGCAGCAAGAGGGCGCAGACAGACTTCGAGGGGCCCCCAACCTCAGGGTATGACCCAGGAGAAAGTTATGGGCACCAAACCAAGCTGAGTGGCAAATGGAAGGAAAGAGAGTACAACAGTTTGAGCCAAAACGATATGAACCCCAAACTCTGGGATCTCAGCTCTGTGCCTTCCAGGAGCCAAAAGGGAGACGTCAGCCTGGGCAGTGTTGGGGGTGCAGATCAGCGCCCTCTAGGAGGATGTCTCTGTTGCTGGGACACTGGGTTTGGGCATCAGTGCAAAACAAACCTCTCCATGGAACAGGGACCCCATGCCCCCTCCCCAGAGGCTTCCTTTGAAGTGGTGGAGCCCACCCAGAACCCTGCTCTCAGACTGTGGGGACACTGGGCCCCCAGAGGAGCACTTGGGCCTGAAAAGCCCCGCAGGGTAGAAGTGCGGGATAGCCTAGGAGTCAAAACTCGCACCCATTTAACCTCAGCTGGGGAGATCTCTCCATTATATACGAAGGCGGGGCCCAGAGAGGGCAAGCAGCTGGCTCAAGGGCTCACAGCTAGCCCAGCTAGGCCAGAGCCCAAGGCCGCAGCCTCACACGGGAGGGCACCAGGCAGGACTCTGGAAGAGGAACACCTGTCCTCAAGGGCCACAGGAGAATGATAAAGATACTGAGGACAAGAAGGCGGGACATGAACAGCCACAGGAGGACAAGCGCCAGCACCAGACCCCCCCCTGGAGGCCAGGGCGGACACCTGAACATAGGATGAGCCCAGGGCCATCCTCTCACTCCCAGAAAGTGGCCGCTTTGCCATAAGAGAGCCAGGCCTGAGATGGTGACTCAGGATGTCACGGGGAGGGCGGGCACAAATGCCACTCGCCTCCCCACCAGGCAGCCGGGAAACCACACCTGTCAGTGGCTGCAGATCCTGGTCTGGGGGCTTCTCCCTTTAGGGCCTGCTTGGCATGACCGCCGAAGCCTGGAGAACTCGGACAGATGGACTTTGTCTAACACTCCGGCTCCCGGCAGGCCCGCACCCCGGATTACACAGACATCAACCCTGACTGGGGCTTGAAGTTGCAGGCACGGGGAGGCGGCGGTGGCTGCGCCGAGACCCAGGGATCTCGCGCCCTTGCAGCCTAGGGAGGCCCCCAAGGCCAGGCAGGGTCCCTCCCCGCTGTGGTCGGACACTGCTGGACAGACACGGGAGGAAAAAAGCAGGAACAGGCCTGTGTCGGGGAGAAGACAGCCCTTCCTGTCCCCGCAGGCAGCCTGGCAGGGCCCCACTGCTCCGTGCCCAGCCCCGCCCTCAGGGCACTGACTCGAACTTGGGGGGCCCGCGCGCCCAGCAGAGCGCCTGCAGGGGCCGCTCGTGGTCTTTGTCGGACTCCGGCTGGCTCTGGGCCCGCTCCGGCTTGGGGTTGGCGGGCGGGTCCGGCTGCTGCACCGACATGGTTCTGCGCAGGTGGTTGCGCTTCCGCAGGAAGTCGGGCTGCGCGTGGAGGCCGAAGCTGCCCTTGCGCAGGATCATTCGCGGGTGGTTCTTCTTGGGGCGCGAGCGGTGGCTGGCCTCCAGCGCCGCCAGGTGGGCAGCGTAGCCCTCGCTCAGGAACTGCGGGGGGCGCAGGAGTCAGGCCAGCAGGGCAGGGGGTAGGCCCAGGCCTGACCCTGTACCCCAACATCACCCTTACTCTGGGACACCCTACAATGGTGTCAGCAGCTTCCCTGTGGAACCTCCAGGAAACTGGACGCTCACTACCATTCAAGGCTCCCTGCCTGCTTCACACTACTGAGCACTTCCATCTGGGTCATTCGGAATTCTCTGGATTCTGGATGGGGGTGAAACTTCCATCCTTGTCACTTTCAGTAAAATCTCAGAATATAAGTCTCCCATCATCCACCTTCCACCCCTTGGAACTGGGTTACTTTCTGGGGCCCACAACTGCCCTTGACATCCTTCCCAGGGTGTGCTCAGCTTGCCACTCAGCAAGTAGCCTGTGGGCCGCCAGCACCTGGCCCCTGCTGGGCAGAACCTCAGGCCCCACCCCAGACCTACAGGATCAGGACCTGCATTTAAACAAGATCCCCAGATGATCCACAAGCGCGTTTACAGTTTGAGATCAGCGCTGCTCTAGGGATCCCCATTTGGGGGTCCCTCTGTCTTCTGACCCTGCACCAGCTGGTCACTCTCAGAGTTTACACTCAATATGCCCTAAAAGATCATCACCTTCCCTTCAGTCTGCTCTTTCAACCTGCTTCTCACCAAGCCAGAAACGGGGTGCCATCCTTGCTTTCTCTTTCCTTCATCCCGCACATCTGATCCGTTCATTAGCAGATCGAGTCCATCCAGCCTACAAATGCTTCTCAGACCCTCCGACTTCTCTCCTCCCTTCCACTTCCTCCATCCACCTCCCACCTGCAGCCCCAGGAACCTCTCTGAATCACAAACACTCTGAAGACTTAGAGTCCCAACCTGGGATCCACTGCCATCGGCCCCTCCCCTACGCCCTCCTGCGTCACACTCAGCCAAGCGGTCACTTGTGGTTCCCAGAATATACACGTTGTCTGTCCCCTCCTGACCTTTGCTTTTGCTGCTGCCTGTCACAAATGCTCCTCCAACCTCAGGCCCCTCTAGGACAATCCCTCACACTTCTGCCCGGAAGGATTCCTAGATCTCCATCCCCCAGGAAACCTTGCCCCAAGTCCAGCTTAGCTGTTCTTGTCTGGGATCCCACCATTCTCTGAGCTCCCCCATCATTTATCATGGCTCTTGCCACACTGGACTGTTACTGTCTGCAAATTTTTCCATCTCCCTGGACTGGATGACATGACATCGGATTCCACTGGCGACTCCCCCCGGCTTCCAACATAGGATCTGTTTTGAGGCAGGTGCCCCATAGTATTTGTTGAATGAATGAATGAATGAGCAGATGAAGGAATGAACAAATAAAGGAATAACCACCTACTCCCCTTTACCCTTTCCCTGGCCCCCACTGCCCAGCCTCAAGCCCCAGCCAGCCTCCACCCACCTGGCACTGGGTTTGGTACTTCTTGGTGGGCCGGCCTACAATGAAGATCTGGGAGGGCGGCAGGCCCAGCACGCTGTAGACGGAGATGTCCTTTGTGGAGCCATAGGCAGCACTGATTTTGATGAAACACTGAAACACAGAGCAGCTCATGGAGGGAGAGACAGGCCCAGTCAAACCGCCCCCAAAGGATTCCTGGATCCCCATCCCCCAGGAAACATGCTGGGGACCCTTTATCTGCACACTGATAGAGTCCAAGTCATGTCTACCCTGCAGTGGCCTCCCGTCTCTGCCCCAACCCTGCACCCCAGGCCCAATACAGGGTTCTGCCTGGTGAAGTCAGGGCCACCCCATTAGCTGAGCAGCACTAGCCGTAGGTTATCTAACTGTGGGGCAAAGCGCTCCTTTCTGGACAAGGAAACTGACTGCCAGGTTTACATATCACAAGGCCAGGACTAGAGCAAATCCTGTCTGGCCTCCAACCCTGTGCCATCCCCACGGCACCAGACCAGACCATGGCCCCCATTTGGCCACTGCCTTGTGCTGGCTGGTCTGATGTCCTCCCTAGAAGCCTCATCCCAGTTCAGAGAACTACCCAGCTCCTCCTCATTTCAGCATCACCTCCAGATCCTTGCCCACCGCACCAGGATGAAACCCCGCCTCCTTTAGGGTGCTCACCATCTCGCTGTCCTCACTTGGAGCCCCTCATCAACGTCATCTTCTCTTTCCCACTCAACCTCCCCCCAAGTCCACTGGAGATTTTTGGTCAACTGTGACAGCTTTTCTTCCTCCTAAGTCCCACCATCCCTGGGATGACGTCCTGTTCACAGGGATGGTCCACCCACCACCTGAGCCTCATGGTTCTTTAAGGTCAGTGACTGTCACCTCCAAGAATGAACCCAGACCTGCCCCCTCTGAGCTCTGAACCTGCGCTTTCCCACACTGACCCTGCTCCTTCCCGTCTGTCTCTCTCTCAGCCTCTCTGGCCTTATCCACACCTGAATTCTGTGCACACCTCTCCCGCCTCACCCCTCGCACCCGGCCTGGGCTCCCTGGGGCCTCCCTCTCTGGCCCCTCGTGCGCCCACATTCCCTGGCAACACCAAGCCTGGGCTTTCTCCACATCCCCTTTCCCCTTCCCATGTGCTGGCTTCTGAGAGCCTCTGGGGAAACACAGAACCACGCAGCTCTGGCCCCACGCATTCTTTCTGTTCCCCAAGCCCCCCACCCCCCCTATGTCTCCTGATTTTTACTTCCCTCCCTAAGCTGCTACCCAGTCCTGGAAGTCGAACCAAAGAAAGGGCTTCCTCAGCCCACTGACCCTCTCCTCGTTAGTTGATTTATCCCCTACCTGCCTTTAGCCCAAAGGAAGAAGCAACTTCCTTGCCCCACCCTGTCTTGCCTCCTGATTCGCTCCAGCTCACTCCCGTCACTTCAGTCCAGTGAGTCCATTCCCACCCACATCAGCATCTGGGCTGAGACCCACCTTGTCTGCTCCTCACCCCACTGCTTCTGCCCCCTTAGCCTCTGAGGCGTCCCTTCTTCACCGAGGTCATCAGGGTCCAGTCTTCATCATGAGGACATTTCTCATCAACCACACCTCTTCCCAAGGACACTCTTTCCTTCTTAAAACCTTCTCCTTCCCAACACCAGGAAGCTTTTCTTTCCTGGCCTTGCCCCCATCTGGCTCTCTCTGGCTCCTCTGCTGGCTCCTCTCGCTGCTCTTGGGGGCTCAGCACAGCCCCTTCTTGCCCCTTCCCATGGCTTCATTGACATGCTTCAGCTGGACTTGACATAGCTCGTGTCCCATGGTGATACAAGCCTCAATGTGTCCACAAATGAGCTCATCTTCCTCCAGCCTGGTCCCCTTTCATTTAATTCATTCCACTAACATTTATTGCATGCCTATCCTGTGTCATCATTGCCCCAGATGCTGGAGATGTACTGGTGACAAAACAGACATAAGCTACAGTCAGATCAGGTTAGTAGCACCTTGATTTCTCCTGGTCCTCAAGATGACCATCTGAGAGCTCCTCACTCCCTCCATGAAACCATCACTGTGTCTCTCTCAGCTTCTCTGGCCTTATCCACACCTGAATTCTGTGCACACCTCTCCTGACGATTCTACCCTCCTTTCTCTCCTGCCTTTCTCTCCATCCCATGGCTACCACCTAGACTCTGGTCTTCCTCTCTCTTGTTTGGGCAACAGCTTCCCAACTGACCTCCACACCTCTTGCTTCTCCCACTAATCTGTTCTCCACGTAGCTGCCAGAGGGATCTTTCTACAGCTCAAGTTAGACACTGCCACTTTAAACTCTTCCATAACTCCTCATTGCCCTCAGCAGAGTGTTCATGGTCTGGGCCTGGCTTCTGTGGTTTTCAAGACTTACCAACCTCAGGTGCCTGATAACCTCCAGGGCCTCAGCTCCCAACTGGCCTGGCCACTGCATCCCATCCTGAAGTTCTGAGAACATCCCAGGCTCTTCCTACCTCAGTGCCTTTGCACATGCCATTTCTGGTGGGGTTTTTTTGTGTTTTTTTTGGTACATGCCCCGAGTGGGAACCGAACCTGGGACTCTCTGGTCCACAGGCCGATGCTCCAACCGCTGAGCCAAACCGGCCAGGGCTGCACATGCTGTTTCTTTGGCCACTTGACAAACTCATACTCACGCTTCAAGACTCAGCTCAAAAGTTCCCACCTCCTAGAAGCCATCTGTGCCCTCCCTAGGCAAAGCTAGGTTCTTTCTACTCTGTTTGCCAATAGGGCCTTTTCTAATTACACACCAGGAAGTGGAGGATTTGCACATTCCTCTTCCTCTGGATCAAGGATTGGGAGACTTTTTATGTGAAAGACCAGATAGGAAACATTTCAGGCTTAGCATTTTGTTGCAGCTACTCAGCTGTTCCACTGTAGCTCAAAAGTAGCCGTAAACAACATATAGCACATGAGCTTGGCTGTGTTGGAACAGAACTTTATTTTTGGACGCTGAAATTTGAGTTTTGTAGATCTTTCACGAGTCGGGAACTGTTCTTCATCTGATCCCCACCCCTACCCCCAACCATTTAAGCCATAGTTTGTCAACCCCTGGTCTTGATCAGGGGCTCTCAAAATTTTGTAAGCACCAGCATCCTCTGGAGGGTTTGTCAGTACACGTTTGCTGGGCCCCTCCCCAGCGTTTTTGATTCAGTAGGTCTGGGGGAGGGCCAGAGGATCTGCGCTCCCAGGGGGGTGTGCCTCCCGTCCTGGGAACACTGACAGCCAACCCTCGGATCTAGCTCAAAGCTCTTTCTAGCATGTCCCGCATTGTTTGTCTCTGTGTGGCCCCAAGACAGAGGACAGGGAAGAAACATAATAGGCACTTCCGTGTCTGTTGAATGAATAACCAAATGCAGAGAGAAGATGTAGGCTTTAGGGTCAGGAGACAAAGGACGAAAGTCTGACTCAGATCTTGGGCAAGTCCAGAGCCTGCCTTTCTCATCTGCCTCTGAGAATAATACCTACCTGGAAGGCTGGAAAAGGACCCACTGAGATCCCCCGAATGTGCTTTGCCAACTGGCCATCCACTTGCACACGGGAGGTGGCGGGGTAAGCGGAGGAGGTCCACGGGGGTTGAGGAAGGGGGGGGGGAGCATGGGGGAGGGCCCTGGAGGGCTCTGGCTCCCGCCCCGGCTGGACACTCACCTCCTGCACGAGGTTTCGGAGGAAGATGGCCTTCTGCCGCAGCGGGTCGTGCACCAGCCCATCTGAGAAGAAGATCATGCCCTGTGGGAAGTTGTGCTGGGACAGCCAGGAAACCACTCGCTGCTTCTGCATGTCCGGCCGCCCAGTGATGTAGAGGATCATGTAGCCCAGGTCCTGCCAGTGCCTGGTGAGAGGGCAATGCAGTGTCCAGCCCGGCCCCGCCCCGGCCGCCACCCACAGCCTGCCCCACCGGCTGCCTTCCTGAGAAGCCAGAGGGGCTGTCGAGAAGCGCTAGGAAAAACCAGGGAGACCCCCAAATCCACACTCCCAGCTGAGCCCTTCTCTTAAATGGCCCATAGGCACAGGGTGCTCACGGCCGACTGATCCTCCCACTCCTGCCCCTCTGCCCATGCCCCCTCTCTGTGGTGCTGCCAATGTAATTCAATTCTGGGGCCAGAGACAGTGCCTAGGAGTCCTCTCCTTCCCCTTGGCCGCCCCTCCTTCCGCCTCCAGGCTGTGCGCCCGCGGGTCTCGACTCTGACTCTCGTGCTAGCTCGCAGCTCCGTCTCTGTGTGTCCCCATCCTCCCATCTTCCAGGCCCCTCCTCCAGAAAGCCACGGGCAGGCCTCTCGCCTCCACTCCCCCCACTCAATCTAACCAGGGCCGGGCAACTTTGGACGGGTCACTAAACCTCCAGGATTTCGCTTTCCACATCTGTAAAATGGGGATATCAGCAACTACCACACAGGGCGTCCTGAGGACGAAATTAATCCATCCCAAAGGCTCCTAGCATGCTAGGCTCTATACAGTTGCTGCACTGTTATCCCCTGTACTGTTTCCATGGTGATGTTTGTACATCACAAATCTAACCTGACTTCTCCTTTGCCTAAAGCCACTGGTTCCCAGTGCCCTGAGGCCCTCCATGCTGTACCCTTGAGCCTGGCTGCCCCAGGTCACACAAAGCTGCTGGGCTGCCCCAGACAAGCCTGCACGCTTCTGCTGCACACCCCTTCCCGGGACAGTCCCGCGGCTCCATCTCCCTATGTCCCATCCTCCCATCTTCCAGGCCCCTCCTCCAGAAAGCCTTCCCTGCCTCCCACGTAGAACCAGGGTCTCCTCTCTGCTCTTACAGTACAGCAAGAAGAGCTCCCTGCCTTCGTGTGGCACCCTGGCTGCGGGAAGTCAAAGAAGCCCTGGCCTGTTTGGCTCAATGGGTAGAGCATCAGCCCGCGGACCAAAGAGTCCCGGGTTCGATTCCGACCAAGGGCACGTACCTAGGTCGTGGTTCATCCTCAACCCCGGTTGGAGTTGTGTGGGAGGCAACCTGTCAGTTTATCTCTCTCACATCGACGTTTCTCTCCCTCCCTCCCTCTCTCCCTCACGCTCTATTTGAAGATAAACAGAAAAATATCCTTGGGTGAGGATTAAAAGAAAAGAAAAAGTCAGAGAAGCCCAGACCTATTTGGGAGCTTCTGTGGCACTAGCCACCTACTGGCTACTACAGATGGGGGTTTCCAGACCTGGAAGATGGTCTAAGAGATTTGGGGAGGTTTTGTAACAAAGCACAGGCCCTGGTGTCACCCCTGGGGAGTCTGGTTAGTTCGAGGTGGGGTCCAGTGATCTGTGAGGACAAAAAGCAGCTTCTTCTGATGAGCAGCAAGGTTTGGGGAGCACCACAGTGGCCCCACAGGAAGGAGATGAGAGCTCCAGAGGACCCCCCGAGAGGAAGGACCAACTACAGCCTCCCCTTCCCAGCTGTGGGATGAGGACTCAGAGGGGTTTGGAGAGATGTTGTAATGGAAATAAATGGCCCGGCCTTACAAGAGGGAGGGTGACCCCTGGGATGACTTTGAGCCTGCCCATGACCTGTTCCCACAGAGCCAGTGGGCATCGAGAGGTCAGCCGTCCCCTGGGAGCCCCCGAGACAAGCTAGTATTCTCTCCCCAGAGTGATCACTGCCACTGGGGTGAGGCAGGGCAGCCCCTCTCAGGGAACTCCCAGGACCCAGGATCTTCTATTCCTGGGGTTCTGATCACTAGGAGTCCTGGAGCAGGTCTCATACCCATGACCCGTTTCCCCACAGGACTGTGAAACTCCTCCTCCTAGGACCTCCCTCTGCATCCGTGCCAGCACCGAGCCTGGCTTAGGGAAGGGTAGATGGAGGCGGGGGGCAAGGAGGGCAGGAGGACCTGAAGTGGTGCCTCTTTTGCTTCTCTGTTGGCAAAACCCTCTGCACCCCTCTCAGCAATACAATGACCCTGGGAGGCTGTGTCTCCAGCCACACCCCTGCCCTGTCCTAATCTCCAAAATCCAACTACCCCAAACTTGTCCACCTGTTCCCCACACATGCTCTGTTCTTCCCTGTCCTTCTCACCTTGCATCTCCTTCTTGGCCTATCCATCTAAATCCATTTCTTTTACCTTTCTTCCTTTGCTGCTATTCGTACAATGGCATCAGTGGAAAATATACACACATCCATCCTTCAAGGCCTATCTACAAGGCCACCTCTCCCAGGAAGCCTACCCTGCTTTCTCCAACCAGCTGGAATAGCCCCATCTCTGTTAGCCCTGTATGTTAGCTAGTCTCACAAGACGGTCCCTGCGTGAGCCACGGGTCCGTCTTCACACCTCGATGTGGTGCTGTCCCCTTGAATCTGGGCTGATCTTCTGACTAGTTTATAACCGATAGAATGCAGTGGGAAGGGCACTGTGACTCCCAAGGCTGGGTCCTAAGAAGGCTGTCAGCTGCCGCCTGGGTGTCTAGGAACTGGGGGAAGCCAGCCACTCGGTATGAAATCTGAAGTCTGCGACCTCCCAGGGGGCCGCCATGTGGAGACCCGGTGCTCGGAAGCCAGGCCTCTTGAACATCTAGCCCAGTGGAGCCTTCAGAGGATCCCAGCCCAGACCACCTTCCGGCTGAAATTGCTAGAGAGACCCCACATGAGAACCCCACAGGAAGAAGCAGTCAACCCGCAGAACCATGAGACAGAAGGATACGTTATTACTTTAAGCAGCTGCGTTTGCAGCCGTTTGCCTCACAGCGAGAGGTCATCAGAACACACCGACACTATCCTGCTGGGGGTCAGAATGCGAGAGGCCAGGCCTGACCCACCGCAGGGAATGCTCGGGTAGAATAAGAAGGGAGGGGGGCAGGAGGAAGGGAAGGAGGAGCTGGGATCCAGAAAGCAGCTGGGAACATCTCCAGGACGCTCAGTAAATTCATATTGGCGGTAAAGCCGGGACTGCCCAGCTCCTGCCCCAGAGACCAGTGAAATTCCTAGAGGAAACCAGAAAAAACCCAGGTCTGCGGGCTCCTTCCCAGGGAGGACATGTCCCCTGCAGGGAGGTAGCACTCACCGGACCACGTCCACGGCCCCCGGTCGGACCTTGGGGTCACTCCCCATGATGGACACGCTGGCCGCGAAGGACCCGTCAATGCTGAACACCACGCACTCCATGCCCCGGGGCAGCACCGTGAGGTAGCTCGTGGCACAGGTCTGGTCGCCCCTGAAAAGGATCGCTGTGCTCAGCCAGGTGTTCAGGGCAGGTGTCAGCCTGAGGCCTCTGGGGTCAGAGCTCAGTCTGGGGCCAGGGTCAAAGAACCTGGTGAGGACCTCGTCCATTTTTCTCTCTCCCCACAGACGGGGACAAGGCCTAAACGACAGCACTCCGAGGACCCCATCTTCTGGATAGGCTTGGCTGGAGGGGTGGTGAAAATGGGTGGAGCCACCATGAGAAGGTTTCCTGGGTCTCACCTGACAACCATCTTCACGGGGTAGACGCCGACCCCCAGGCGCCTGGGCCGCGGCACGCTGTACGTGATCCGGCCGCTGCTGTTGGTGATCTCCGTGTCCAGGTGCACCCAGCGGCCCGAGGACGGCTCTGCCATCACCAGGATGTCCACCTGCAGGCAGCGAGGGGGCCAGGGAACTCACTGAAGGCTGGGGTGCTGCAGGCTTGGCTTAGGGGCTCAGCCGGGGAGCTGTCTGCCAAGACAGCAGGCTCCGGAGCTTGGGGTCCTGCCTGCGTTTCCTGGTTCCCACCACCCTCTGCCCGCTGCAGCCCCACGGCCTCTCAGAGGTACCAAGTTCCTCCCTTGCTCCTTGTCGCCCTCCCAGACCTCCCCAGGTGGGGGGTGTGTGCGCCGTGTGCACCACAAGTCACCAGGTGCACAGGTGGCCAGTCGCAGTGGGGATGCCACCCTCTGTACCTTCTCTCCTGTCAGCGCCACCATATCGAGGGGCCCGTACATGAACCGCCCCACCAGGACCTGGGGGCCGTCTTCGGCAGCAATCACGTCGTTGGCCCGGTGGTTAGCAGTGACGTTCTGGAAGGACAGAACCAGCTCAGCCTTCGCAAGTGGGGCCGGACCTTGTGTTTTCATCACATTGTCCTTAGGACTGGCTGGAGGGACCTGGACCTGCCGCATCACACCTTCCTCTTAACCCCTTCGAGGTGCCGAGACGGGTTCCCACGGAGCCCATGCGGAGAGCAGACCCGAGTGCTGTCCCCAAGGAGCGCCGGGGTTCCTGGAGATGAGCATTCTCTGCTCTCGAGTCTCTCCACAGCCCCGAGGAACTGCCCGTCCTCACAGCCGGTCATCCTGCTGGCTTCCTAGACTGGAAACCGCCGGTCACCTTCACTTCTTCCTTCCACATCACTGCCCACATCCCAGAGCCATTTACCATCATCTTTTCTTTGTGGAAGATTTCAAACGTACAAGAGTAGAGAGAACAGTGTGACAAAGTCCCGGGTGCCCCACACCAGCTAGCTCCTGCGCGTGTCCACTCACGGTCACTCTGGCGTCCCCCCCTTGCTGAATCCCCACCCTTCTTCATTTCTGGTTTCAATTCATTCCACAGCTCAAAGCCTCCAGTGGCCCACCTACCCCCAACTCTCGGCCTGGCTTCAACACCCGAGTCACTCGGGCCGGTGGCCCTTCCTTTAGAGAACAGCCCACGTGGCATCTCTGCCCACACCGCGTCACCCAGGGCCTGGGCTCTGCTCATAGCTTCTTAATGAAGCTCCTTATTCAAAGACAGACCCTGCCAGAGCCATCAGCTTTATAAAGCAAGATCTGTTAACGCCCAGTGCCCACCGGATGAAGCCGAAATCCTGAGCTCAGCATTAAGCTGGGCCCACCCTTCGGTCTTCTTTCCTGCTGCTCCCTTTCCAAGCCCCTCTGGTCCTTTCGGGATGGGCTCTTCAGTGCTCTCCAGGCCTTTGTTCCCACTGGGCCCCCCAGTCTACATGCCATCGCTGGCCTTCGGCCCCCATATTCCAGCCCATCCACTATGACCTGACTCAACTTGGTCCCCTTCCAGAAACACTTCTTGGACTCCCTAAAGATGGCCTCCCCTCCTCTCAGTTCCCATGGAATTTTAATTCAGTTCAACAAACATTTGCAGTCACCTCGTCTGCACAGGTCCCTTAGCTGGGCTTTGTGGACCCAGAGAGGAGCCGGTCATTAACCCTGCCCTGGACACACTCTGTCAAGTGCGGGACACAGGCCCCCTTACAGGAACACCAGAGGGGCAAGAGTTGATCCATGGAAACAAACACATGGAAAGATGCTTGACCTCACTAGTCATTAGGAAAATGCTAATCAAAACCACAATGAGGTACCATTTTATACCCATTAGGATGACTAGAATCAAAGAGACAGAGTGTTGGCGAGGATGTGGAGAAATCAGAACCCTCATACACTGCTGGCAGGGGGGATGTAAAATGATGTTACTGCTTTTGACAAGTTCAGTAGTTCCTCGAATAATAAAACTAAAGTTACCATCTGATCTAGCAATTCTGCTCCTGGGTGTATGCCCAGGAGAAATGAAAACATCTGTCCACATACAAACCTGCATATGAATATTTATAGTAGCATTATTCATAGTAGACAGAAGGTAGAAACAGCCCAAATGTCCAAAAACTGTTAAATGGATAAACAAAAATGTGGTATATCCATATAATGGAATATTATTCAACCATAGAAAGGAATGAAGTACTGGTACATGCTACATTGTGGATGAACCTTGAACACATTAGCTAGGTGAAAGAAGCCAGAGACAAAAGACAACATACTGCGTTGTTCCATTTATGTGAAATATCCCGAATAGGCAAATCTACAGGGACAGAAAGTAGATTACTGATTGCTTAGGGCTGGGGGGTGGAAGAGGGGCTGATGGCTAAAGGGTAAGGGGGTTCTTTCTGAGGTAATGAAAATATTCTAAAATTAATTGTAGATGTAAGGTTGCATTTGTCTGTAAATACACTAAACACTATTGAATTTTAAGTGGGCAAACTGTATAATACCTGAGTTACAGCACAATAAATACGTCACACACAAAAAGAGTCCACTCATGGAGCACTGGTCACCTTCTACCTTTTAGGACTGGGGTCTATGTCTGAATTGAAGTACCCCCCTAGCAGTGGCTGTGTCTGTGGCATGATGATTGCTTACTGAGTGAATAAATGAATGTATACAAACCGAGCTCCTAGTTGTACTTCAATACCCTATAGAGGTGACTCTTCAGGGAAGCCGTGCATGACCTGCCCTGCAATTCTTCTTTCTACCTGCTTCTTCATCTGTGCCTCCTCTGTCATGGTAACTATGTCTCCAGACCACACTTGGTGAATCAGACTGAGCCCCACCGTCATGGACAGGGCTCCTTCCAGTTCACTGCCACACCACTAGGCCTGGCATAGCAGTTGCTCCACAACTGGCATCTCACCAGCCCCAGCGCCCTGGACCCCCATCCTTGGGGCTCCTGTGGAGTCAGGCCACCTGGAACCGGCTCTCCCATCTCACATATGCCCCACCCCGCCCCCACGGCAGGACCATGGGCCTCGTCTAAGCGTGAAGCCCAGCATGTGTGGGCGCTCAGCTCTGAGGGGCAAATCAAAGGCCTTGCCTGCCCTGTGGATGCCCAGCCCCCAGGGCAGCCTCACCTGCCCGAGGCCACCTCCCAACCAGTGCGTGACGCCAACAAGCACGTACCCGCAGCTTGACCTGGGTCCTCTTACGAAGCCACTTCTCTCGGGGGTTAGCGGGGCTCAGTACAGCAGGATCCAAGCCAGCACTCTCCTTGACGGTCACGCTCTCATAGCGCATCACCTGACAGATGCCAAGCAGGGCTCCAGGTCAGGCCCCTCAATCCCTCCCCCTCCTTCCAGGCTGGCAGGGTGCACCACCCCCAAACCCCCTCACCTCCCAGCTTGGAGCCCGCAGGACTCACGTCCCTGCCCACCTGTCCTGACAGCTGGGGCCAGAGCACAGACCCACAGATGCTCTCTGGCTGGGAGCGGCCTCTGTCCTCCACACCCACACTCAATAGCACCCTGCGTCTGTGCCCATTCTCGCCTTCCCTCCTGTTCCCTAGGCGGCCCCCACCTCAGGCCAGCTGAAGCCCTGGCCCCAGCCCCTCCCGCCCCTCGAGACCATTGCCGCTGCTGGACTCCCTCGCCACCCTGAGGGACCGGCTGGCCCCTCTCCCTGGACCGTTCTCTGCACACAGATGTGCTGTAATCGCTCTCACCTTAAAAAGAAAAACACTCTTGCTAGGACCTCTGCTGTCTCTGCAGTGACTGGCACCCCTCTCTGCTCTCCCACGCCCTGGGCTCGGCGCCCCTCCCTAGCTGCCTCCTCCCCCTGCCCGCTGCCATCAGGCTTCTGTCCCCACTGTTCCGCTGAAGCCAGTCTGCAAACCTGGCCGGTGACTTCCCTTCTGCCTGACTCGAAGGTCCGCTCTCACCCACCCTCTCTTGGTTCCTCTCCGACCTAGGGGGTGTCTCCTCGGTAGTTCCCCCTCTCCCCCTGGCACTACAGAACTCACCCTTGGACTTCTCTCTATGGGAATGCCCTCCGTATCTGTGGCGCTGTGATTGTTTTCATGAGAAATACATATATTTGTTTTTCACCCTCATGTATGGCGCAAAGCTCCTAAAACCCTTGTCATTTCCAAAGCGATGAGAGCAACAAAGGTGTCTTTTATGTTAGCGAGGTGACTTTTGGGGGCCGGTTGCCAAGGGAACCAACCTTGTGAATAGGGGGTTGAAACATTAAGTCCCAACCCTTAACCTCCAGAGAAGGGAGAAGGGCTGGAGGGTGGGTCAACGGCCAGTGGCCAGTGATTTAATCAACCATGCCTGTGTAATAAAGGCTCCATAACAACTTCCAAAAATCGGCTGGCAGGGCACACAGGGATTTGGGAAGGGCAGCAGAGCCCCCCACTTCCCCACACCCTGTCCTACGCGCCTCCTCCATCTGGCTGGTCCTGAGTTACATCCTTCTATAATAAACCAGTAATCTCTTACGAAAAACGTCTCTCTGAATTCTGTGAGCCGCTCTAGCAAGGAAATCCAACCCAAGGGGGGGGGGGGCATCGGAACCTCTGATCAGCCCCTCAGACGCCCAGGCGACAACCTGGACTTGCGATTGGCATCTGAAGGGGTTGGGGTCAGATGGGTGGGACCGAACCATGACCCTGTGGGACCTGAGCTATTTGCAGGTAGACAGTGTCAGGACTGAGTTGAATTGTAAGACACCCGGCGGGTTTGGAGAATTGCTTGGTGCAGGGAAGAAACCACATCCTGGAATTGGTGTCAAAATCGCAGCATTGCACCGGTCACTGGCTTTCAACGTCATCCGAGCTCTCATCACCGCCCATTTTTATCTCTAAGCCTGACATCATCCCTAGGCTCCAGACTCTGCTCACCTTCTCGACATCTAACAGGCACCTCACCTTCCAGGACAGATCCCGGACTCGGTTTCCCCAGCCCACCCTGCTCTTTCTCAGCCTTAAGAAATGGTACCACTGCAACTGTTCAAGGGGGACAGGGTCCATTGGCCTCCTCTCTCCTTCACAGCTCGGACATCAGCAAGTCCTGTCACCGCAGTTCACACCCTCAGCATAGCTCAAACCTTCCCCACAGCTCAAACCCTCCGCATGGCTCACACCCTCAGCACAACTCACACCCTCAGCACAGCTCAAATCCTCAGCACAACTCACACCCTCAGCACAGCTCAAATCCTCACACAACTCACACCCTCAGCACAGCTCACACCCTCAGCACAGCTCAAATCCTCAGCACAACTCACACCCTCAGCACAGCTCAAATCCTCACACAACTCACACCCTCAGCACAGCTCACACCCTCAGCACAGCTCAAATCCTCAGCACAACTCACACCCTCAGCACAGCTCAAATCCTCACACAACTCACACCCTCAGCACAGCTCACACCCTCAGCACAGCTCAAATCCTCAGCACAACTCACACCCTCAGCACAGCTCAAATCCTCACACAACTCACACCCTCAGCACAGCTCACACCCTCAGCACAACTCACACCCTCACACAACTCACACCCTCAGCACAACTCACACCCTCACACAACTCATACCCTCAGCACAACTCACACCCCCAGCACAGCTCACACCCTCAGCACAGCTCACACCCTCAGCACAGCTCAAACCTTCCCCACAGCTCACACCCTCAGCACAGCTCACACCCTCAGCACAACTCAGCACAGCTCACACCCTCAGCACAACTCACACCCTCAGCACAGTTCACACCCTCAGCACAGCTCACACCCTCAGCACAACTCACACCCTCAGCACAGCTCACACCCTCAGCACAGCTCACACCCTCAGCACCTCCACCACCAGCACAGCTTATACCCTCAGCACCTCCACCACCAGCACAGCTCACACCCTCAGCACGGCTCACACCCACAGCACGGCTCACACCCTCAGCATGGCTCACACCCTCAGCACCTCCACCACCAGCACAGCTTATACCCTCAGCACCTCCACCACCAGCACAGCTCACACCCTCAGCACGGCTCACACCCTCAGCACGGCTCACACCCTCAGCACAGCTCACACCCTCAGCACGGCTCACACCCTCAGCACGGCTCACACCCTCAGCATGGCTCACACCCTCAGCACCTCCACCACCAGCACACAGCCCACGCCACCCTCCTGAAGCTGGGCTCCTTGCTTTCCTTGTGAAGGGCCTCATGCTTGCTCCCCTCAAACAGCAGCCGGCCTTCCTTCTAAAAATACATGTCAGTTGATATCTCTCCCCTGTTCAGAACTCTGCAATGGCTTCTGATTGGACCCCGCACCCCATCAAATGCCTGACCTGGGCCGTCAGGCTGCATGTAGCCTGACCCCTCACCCCACCCTCACCTCCTCCCGGGCTGTCCTTTGGCCACTGGCCTCTGCTCCACCTGCTCTTTGACAGGTAGGACATTGGACCCACAGGGAGCAGACCTGTATTACCCCAGTCCCCAGGTTCAAATATGGGTACATTCTCCTATGTAGTTTCTACTTTTCTAGAAAGTACCAGACCGTTAGCCAGAAGCCAGGGCTCTCTGTAGCACATGTCACCCTCCCACTTGGCTGAGCTGCAATGACCTCCCAGTGGCCGGCGGGCCTGCAGGGTAAGCCTCTGCTCCAGGCCCCGGGCAGAGTACCTGTCTCAGGATGAAGGCCACCACGTCCGTGGACTCCCAGTAGCTGGCGTGGAAGAGGTGGGGCAGCGCCACCGTGGGGAAGGCTGTGAGGACCTCAGGGCAGTACAGGGCGTAGTCGATGCGCTTGGCACCCCACCACTTGGCCAGGACTGTGGGGCCGAGAGGGAGGTGAGGACAGAGAAGACTACCTGGGTCTTGACTCAAGGGCAGTGTGGGACCCTGCTGCACAGACACTGTGTGGACGTCCCACACGGGGCGCAAGTGTGAGCAGCACCCAGCTCAGAATGAGCTCAGGACCTGTGCTGTCTCCCTTCGCACCTCCCGCCCCCCCCAGGACATGTGTCATCGAGTGGTCCCGGGAAGGGAGACCCATGGAGGCACCCACAATCCCACCCAGGCTGCCACTGGTCAGCAGGGCTCCCAGGGGAAACGGAATGTAGGGATCAAGGCTCTGGCTGAGGTCAGAGGTCAGTCTATGCCTCGACAGGTCATGGTTCAGTCCACAGCCAGAGGTCAGGGCCCTGTCTACAGCCAGAGGTCAAAGTGCTCTCTGAGGTCAGAGTTCAGTCCGGCTTCCCATTCCCCCTCCTCCCCTGCCCTCGGCAGCTGTGGCAGAGGTCGGCAGCACCCAGAGGAAGGTCCCTCTCCCTTGAACCCAAGGAGGGCCCCCGAAGACCCTCACTCACTGCGGGAGGCACCCAGGGGTGCCAGGCTGTCTGAGGACTCCGAGCTCTCGCTGTGTGAGCTGCCTTGGCTTATCCTCCGCTCCGGGTGCTGGGAGCTCGGGGCCGGAGGGGGCGAGGCTGGGGGGGCATCCACGATCGGCGGGCTTCCCTGGGAGCTGCCCTCCAGGAAGAGGGCGCTGTGGGTGTGCAGCGCATCCGCTGGAGGGGAGGTCCACCGTCAGGGCCGAGGAGCACGTCTCAGCTGGACCCCGGCGCTGCGCCAGCCCCGTGCTGGGTGGGAGGCGGGCGCCCAGCCATGACCCACCCAGGCAACCTGCACTCTCGGCCCTCCAGACCCTGGCTGGCACTCCTCCCCATGGCACATCACTGGGTTTCATGTCCTCTAAGCTGTGGGCTATGCAGGCACAAGTCGGGGCTCCAGCCATCCCTCCTCCCCCGACAGAGCTGACGAGGATGCCTCTGGGAGAGTGCCTCAGAGCACCCGCGGGGGCATGGGTGACCCGCGACCCCAGGCTACATGTCCACCGTCTCTGCGGCTGAGCCAGAGTGACCGGGACTGCAGCCTAGGAGCCAGGTGCTCTCTGGGGCGGGCGATGCCCTGGCCAAAGAGAGGCACATTTTAGGGTGGGAGAGGGAGGTTTCAGGGCCTCTTCTGTCTGTGGAAGTTCTTACGGAGCAGGACTTTGGAAACTAAGTTTTCATCTAAATGGGGTGGGGGGCTGGTTTTAAACCCTGAAGAAGCCGCATCCACAGCACTGCCCCCACGATCTGGCCCAAACCTCTGAACAGGCCCTGGGGTACGGAGCCAAGGCTCACATCTCCAAGGCCTAGATTGCCCATTACAGGCCTCCCCTTGGCCTCACCCCAGTGTATGCCCAGCCCACCCCACTTGAGCCCTGGAGGCCACTGGCCCTCCCCCAAACCCATCTGCCCTTGCTCCCAACCTAGAAGATCCCCCCCAACTCCCATCCTCCAGCTCTTCTCCACCTGTCCAAATGCCTTGGTCCAAAGCCGCCTCTTCCATGAAGCCTACCAGGATGAGATAGACATTCCCTGCTCTGTTCCTCCAGAGTCCAGGCTGGGCACTGGGCAGTAGCACTCTGCTGGGCCCCGGGACTTTCAATCAGGTCTGACAGCTGGAGTATTATCCTGGCCCCCACATGAGCTTATCAGGGGGAGGGGCATCTGTGCCCCAAGATGCCTCTACAGAGCGGGTGCTCACCAGGTGAGCTGCTTGGAAAGCAGGTGAGTCAGCCGCTTGCCTGTTCCATCCCCCCGAGAGCACACAGCCCCTGCCCAGTTGGGTCTATTCACTCCTTCCTCTGACAGCCTGGACCAGCGATGGTGGCCCTGCAGTCAGCACACCATCTCCCACTGCTAAGAGCCTACCCAGGAGGAGGGACTGTCCGTCGCCCAGTGGGAACCTCTGGTAGCGGGGCACGCTGACGGGCGGCACCAGGTGGAACTTGGGCTCCAGCAGCGGCTCAAGCCGTGAGGCGGAGGGGTCCGCGCAGTGGAAGAAGCTGTAGACCTGGCTGCAGGCAGGACGCACCTGGAATCCTGGGAGAATTCAGAGGGGAGGCCCCTTGCTAGCACCTGCTCCCGTGGCCTTGGAAGGCTTCCTTGAGTGCAGCTTTGAGCAGCCTACTGCTCTGCTCAAGAAATGCCTGGCTCCCTGCTACCGACAGGGTCAAAGCCATTATGTTCAGTTTGGTATTCAAGGTCTCGCCAATCTGCCCCACCCAGCACCCAGCCCTGCAGCCACGGTGGCCATCTGAACCGCCCTGGTCAGTCAGCCTCGCTGTGTTCCTTTCTCTGTGCCTTGGCTGCCCGCCCCCCATGGGCCATTTTCCCCACTATCTCCACTGGTCAAACTCCTTCAAATTCTTCCAGCTTTCACTTAGTTGCTATTTGGTCTATGTAGCTGACCCAGGGTCTTTCAGTCAGGATCAGCTGCCCCCTTCCTCCAATTCCCACTCAATTCCTAAGCCTGGTGGTCGAGTTCTTGGTTGGCCAGAGCCGGCAGTACACTTCTCTCACAGACCAGCAGGTGTCTCCACTGAGGCTTCCTCGTCAGTGTGTACCCTTTCCCTCTAGGTCAGGGGACAGGACCGTCCACATCCAGGGTGCCCTAGGGTTCTTTCTTTAGTGACATCAGGGCAGTGGTGGGGTTCTTTCTCCTCTCCCCACTTCATGCAGAGCCCCTCCTCTTTTCTCTGCTCTGTGTTGTAGGTCAGTGAGCTCTGGGACAAAAGAAGTGAGAAGCCCTGGTCTGTCCATCTCCAGGGTGCCGCCAGCCTCTCGCATGCTCAGAATCACGGTTTAACCACCTGCTGGTGCACACTGCCTCGGTGTGCATGTTAGAGGAATGGAGGGTGGCATTCGGCTGTGGGTGCTGCATGAGCAAAGGCACTGGGGCGGGCCTGACTACGTGCAGGAATCACGAAGACGGGCCTGGCTGCAGGGGTCTGCCTGGGCACTGGGGAAGGAATGGATGGGTGCAGCAGGGTACATGTTTATGGTTTCTCTTCACACAGAGCGTGGCAACTGAACAGCAGAGCCACAGATTGGCTGGGGTATGTGACAAGGACAGTGAAATCCACCAGAGACTACCTCACCTTTGCTCCATCTGGGGAAACTACCCTATTCTTCCTCTACCCCTCTCCCCCTCCTTCTTCTTCTCCTCTATGTCCACCTACCCCAACTCTGTGACCCTCTCCGCCCCTGCCCCATCCCCACCTCCCCAACTTGAGGCCTCGACACAGTGAAGGCATCTCAGCCCCCAGGCTGTGCCACACCCACCGTCCAGTCCCGGCAGCACCGTCCTCCGCATGGCCAGGACCAGGCCGAGGGGCGAGCCGAAGAGGAAGAAGTCAGACACATCAAAGTCCAAGCGGCCCAGGCTGACCTCAGGGAGCTGGGGCGCCCCCGCCGCAGGGGGCTCAGCCTCATCCTTCAGCATGCTCGAGTGGATGCTGCCAGAGAGGGGAGACAGGGGGCGGGTTGGGGAAGGACCATGGAAGTGAAGTTCTCACTTAGCAGGGCAGCCTGAAGTCTGCGTATGGAGAGCCCAGCCCTCCGTCTCTAGGACAGGGCCCAGACCAAAGTCCACTCGCCGGGTGCCATCAATACAAGTTGGCAACCATCTCAGCATTGGTCACTAAGGCCTGGCCAACATTTGGCTAAAGCAGGGGTTGTCGGCCACCTTTTTCTGTAAAGGACCAGATGGTAAATATTTTCAACTTTGAGGGCCATGCGGTTTCCATCACATCCACTTAACTCTGCCATGTAGCACGCAAGCAGCCACAGACAACCCCTAAACAAATACGTGTGACCACTAAAACCGCTGGGACACTCAGAACACCTAAGCGTCCTACACACTGCGAATTCCTGCACCATCTACCAGGGAAGCCCAGCTGGCCAATATACAGACCAGCTGGGTGATGTAAGTCCTGCCAGGCTCAGGGCTTTGGTTGTAACTCATGTTCCAGGCAACCCGCAGACACAGATGCTAACGGCTTGGTCTTCCCTCCCCTCCAGCCTGCAGATGAAGCAGAGCTCAGAGAGAAAATGACAAGACACAGATTCCAATCATTCGCGTACCAGGCATCCATTTCCCCCAAAGAGTTCAAGCTGATGTTTAGCCCACGGGCCCAGAGCAGCTGGCCCAGGATGGGCAGGAAAACTGGGGCCCTCCCTGGCCTTCCAGCTGTCATTTAAGTACAGCTTTACGTTTAAGACAATCCGGTGGGATTACGTGATTTATGAATCAATTAACTGAATGCAGATTCAACTAATGTCCTCCAGTTGGAGGAGGCAGGGGATTTCAGGAACCACAACTGAAACAGCGTGTGAGCAAGGGTCCCGGACGCCACACTCCTCTGCCTCTTGCGGTGTGAGCATCTCCCCGTGCGGATGATGACGCTGGTGTTTAACGATATATATTTCATGTACAGCGTGGTCCCTAAACACATGCCAACTATTTAATTGCCAAAGAAACAGCCATCTGTCCCTGCACCAGAGGGAAAAGCTGGCTGTGTTGGACCAGCTACTTACTGAGAGCCTCCAACTTCCTTTACTCTCCAGATTCGGGGCTTTCTTAAAGGCCCTTTCAAGGATGAACCAGTTTTTCCTAGAGAATCGTCTGTCAGAGGGGCTTTGGATAGTCAGAGATTTAAATCTGCAGAGCCTTTGACCTAATAATTCCTCCTCCAGGAATCCACGCAAACAAAAATCACCCTAATATGTACATCAATGTTTACACACAAAGGTCGTCACTAGGGCGCTATTTATAATTTAGAAGAATTGGAAAAAGTCAAAGTGTCCAATGACGGGGATTAAGTAAATGTGTCCATTTACTCAATAAAATATTATTAAGAATGTCTACCGAGTATTTTCAATTATATGATGAAAAGATCACAATATAAGGGTGTGGTTTTTTTTGTTTGCTTGTTTTGTTTTGTTTTTTTAAGGAAAACTAAATGTAAAGAAAGGATATAGTGAAAGAAAATAACACCAAAGTGTCAGCAGCGGCTCCCGCTGGGTGGTGAGCCGTCTGATTTCCAAACGCTGAACTGACTTAATGCTACTTACGACTTGGATAAGAAAGGAGGGAGCACTGGAGGAAGGAAGAGAGGAGGAAGAGAAGAGGCATTCCTTCCCATTGGGGTCTATGCTCAACACCCACTGTGTCCTGAATAAATGTGCAGACAATTCAGCTGGCCGGTGTCAGAGAACACGAGTCTTCTGGGAAGTGAAAGGGTGGACAGCTCCTGGAGGGCCCTGCCCGGCCTAAGACCTGTTGTGTCCTGGGGGCGGGGAAACCGGAATGCTGAGCCCAGCCCTTCAGTAACCGGCTGTGTGGTCCCAGGAAGGCTCCTGACTTCCTTTGCTTCTAGCACCTCATCTGAGGAAAACACACCTGGAGTAGCTCACCAAACACACTTACAATGTATCTGTTTTTTCACTAGATTCTTAAAACCATCAGGAAAGTGGGCTGGGCAGCATTAACCACGTAGCAGAAGATGAAACTGAGGCTCAGAGATGTGAGACTGGTTGTCCGCCTCTAAAAGTTGGAGTGGAGCAGAGACCGATGCAGGGTCCGGGGCCTCCGCCCAGGGCCCATGGGGAGTGGCCTTGGTCTCAGGCTTGCCTATGGGCCCCCATGGAAAGACCTGGGACATATGACTGGTCCAAAGCCACCCAGATGATTCTAAGCCAAGGTGCTCTCTGCTCTGGACTCTTTGCTGGAAGGAAGGTGGGGCACAGGGAGTGGTTACCTTGAGAGGAGGGCATGATGCTGGGTGATGGCCTCACAGTCATAGGTAGAGGAATCGCTCTGTTTCCGTGGCAACGGTCTCTTGAGCTCCTCATCCTCCGACACGCTAGAGACGTCAATGCTGCTTTTGCTGAGCCGCGTGCTGCTGGCCAGACTGCACTCCTCCTCCACCGCTGGGGTGTCCTTTGGGACCAAGGAGAAGACAGGAGGGCACCGCAGTCACTGGAGACTCTGGGCCCTGCCTCCTCCCCCAGGCACAAGTGACCCCTTTCTCCTAGACGTCAGAGGCAATACGCCTTCCAAATGGAGCAGGAAAGCCACAGAACAGCAGCAGTGGGATTTTAGTCACAGGGTCTGCCGCCTCCAGAGGGATTGGCAGTTCAGTGGACTCTGGGCAGCTACCTAGGGACCAGCCCTAAATTAGCCTCCTCTGGGCCTCAGTGTCCTCGCCTGCAGTAGTAATCTCTTGCTACTCTTGTAAGATTGTGATACAATACTTCGTCACCTGGATTACATGGTACACGTGCTAAGGGTTAATGCCACTGCCCTCAGAGAGGCCCTGCTCCCAAGGACAGACCCCTCCCCCACTCCCACCCTCTGGCCCGCACCTGGGTGCTGCTGACGCTCCCCTTCCGGCTGCTGCCGCCAGGGCTGTCACCTGAGGGCCCCGCGCTGTAGCAGATGGCATCAAAGGCCAGGAGGCCCCCCACACAGTCCCCGATGAGACACACCTGCAGAAGGCACAGCTGGGGCCACAGGCCTGGCCACTGCTGACCCCTCACCCCACACCCAATCCGGAGCACAGGTCACCTGGATAACAAGAAACCTGTTCCAGGGAGGCCTGAGAGAGCCCCAGTGGGGAGAAGAGTGCTCCTTCTGGGGCCAGGGTCAGCCTAAGTACAGGACCAGGCTAGGGTCAGGGGTCAGACTGAGACCAGGGTCAGCCTGAGGACAAGAACCAGGCCAAGGTCAGGGGTCAGACTGAGGCCAGGGTCAGACTGAGGACAAGAACCAGGCTAAGGTCAGGGGTCAGACTGAGGCCAGGGTCAGCCTGAGGACAAGAACCAGGCTAAGGTCAGGGGTCAGACTGAGGCCAGGGTCAGCCTGAGGACAAGAACCAGGCTGGGGCCAGGGGTCACACTGGAGGCCAGGGTCAGACTGAGGACAAGAACCAGGCTAAGGTCAGGGGTCACACTGGAGGCCAGGGTCAGCCTGAGGACAAGAACAAGGCTGGGGCCAGGGGTCACACTGGAGGCCAGGTCAGCCTGAGGACGGGAACCAGGCTGGGGTCAGGGGTCACACTGGAGGCCAGGGTCAGCCTGAGGACGGGAACCAGGCTGGGGTCAGGGGTCACACTGGAGGCCAGGGTCAGCCTGAGGACGGGAACCAGGCTGGGGTCAGGGGTCACACTGAGGCCGGGTCAGCCTGAGGACAAGAACCAGGCTGGGGCCAGGGGTCAGCATAGACTCACAATCAGAACTCAGATGTTGGCCTCACTTTTTCTATCTGTAAAATGAGGTCAAACCCAAAGATCTCAAAACTCTCCTTGAATCTCAGAAACTGTGGCTCCTACCAGCTTGGTCTAGACCCTTTCCCAGTGGGGCAGGCAGGGAGGTGGGCGGGCGGCCCTACCTGCCCACTGAAGCCAGTGCCGTCAGGGGACTCGAGGAACTCCGCGTAGACCTGGTTGGCTTGCTGGATGACAGAGGCAACAGCGTCCTGGTACTGCGGGGAGGAGATGGCCAACAGGGGCAGCACGGCCAGAGGGACATGGTCCTGGCTGTTGCTGGGACAGCCCTCCTCATGGTTGTAGGGATTCAGGCTGCAGACAGGGGACCAAGGTCAGCCCAGCCGGGATTGGGCATGAGGGCGGGTTTCAGGCTTCGGACTGGGCAGAAGAGAGCACGTACTGGCCAGGAACTGGGCCTCCACTCCGGGCTCTTCGAGACAAAGCGCAGGCAGTGGGGCAGGGTGTGGGTGCATGAGCCAAGCCTGTGCTGCCTCCCCTGCGTCCGTCCTGTACCAGCCTGGATGTGGGCCCCGAAGACTCCTGTGACAGCAGCTCTCGCCTACCCTATTCTGCATGGCACCAAACAACACCCAGTTGTGGAAGAAGTCACTGGTGTGGATCCGGGTGGGGACATACCATCATGGCAGACTTCCTAGCGGAGGGAGCGTTTGAACTAGGCCTCAAGGAAGGCTTTAGGGGAAGAAGAAAGGAGAGAGGGTGTGCCAGGCCTGTGACAGCTTGGGGTGGGCATGCAGCTGTGTGCACGAGAGTGTGTCCATCTCTCTGGGACAAGGACCCAGAGCCTTCATACGAGTTGCAGGAAGATCTGTGACCCAGGAAAGGACCAGGAGAGTCTGCCTTATTGCCTCCTGCCCATGGATTGTCCAACCTCCGCATGGGCCCCTCACCTCCCTGCCTCCCCTCTGGGTGGCTCAGACCCATATGGGCCCAACTCCCAGCTGCCCCTTCCCCCACCCCACCTGTCCTGCCTCTGTCCCCTGGAGCATCGGACACTTCTGGCCAGGAAGGACCACAGCGGGAAGGGATTGCCCAATCCCTACTCGGAGCCTGCTTTTCCCTCGTAGCCTAAGTTCAAGCCCACCGAGGTTGAAACTGGGGGCAGGTGACAGAGACTCATGGTGTGCAAGGCCGGCCAACAACCATTCCTCATCTCCAAAGAACACAAATTAGAGGAAACAGGCCTCGATTGCAGCCGGAGAGATTTTAATTAGCTGAGAAAGAGCTCCCTCCCAGCAGTGATTAGAGCTGATGGATGGCCTGGCAAGGCGCCACCTCGGGGAGTCCGCTCCCTCCCGCTGCCCGCTGTCCCCTTGAGTGGCCAGGCCATCCATCTTCCTGGCAATCAGGCCTGGGCTGGGTGACCCAGCTCTGGGGGTCAGATGTCCTGGGGGCAAGGGGTTGGGGGGATCCTGAGATTGATTGTGAATGAGCCCAATTAACTCTGACTGTCGGAGTGTAAAGGGAACGGGGCCACGTCAGCTCAGCTCCCCAAATCCTGCTGCAGAGCAGACGCAGAGCAGAGGGGCCTGCTGAAGAGCAGATTCCAGGGCCCTCCCTGCCCGATTCGGACGCCCTAGGGCTGAGGCCGCCGCCTTGTGGTTTAACAAGAACCACACAGGGATTCTGGCCCTTAGCCAGGCTAGGGAACTGCGGACCTAATCGCCTCCCTTCCCTCCAGCTCTGATTGAGATGGGCCCTGCCCATGTCCTGGAGCACAGATGAATCAGCAGGGCTCTACCCCCACGCAGAGCCAACTCTCCTTTCTCTCCCAGACAGGCGAGCGAGGCCCTGCCTGCCCCGGGCAGGACCAGCAGGACGCTGAGGATGGGCCCCCTGGTCCTCCCAGCACTGCCGAGCCCTGTTCACGGCCCCACCTGACTGAGAGGCTGGGACGCCCTGTCCACCCTCCCCAGTCCCACACAGGTAAGGGCTCCCCTCTGTGAAGCCTCCAGATTCTGGCAAAGTTGACATGAAAGGGAGTGAGGGGCAGGACAGAGGTGCCCCTGGCCTCTGTTCACCCCTAACTGCAGAAAGTCCCCAGCTCCCTGTCCCCACAATCTGCCACACGCCCTGTCGGACGTGCGTGCTGCAGGCGCGCAGGACTTCCTTGCCCAGGTCATCTGTGCGGGCCTCCCGCCTGGCTCCCGGCACCCGCCTGGCTTCCCGCTATCTCAGCAGGGCAGGGACCAGGGAAGCACAGAGCCCTCTGGTCCTGGAGCAGTGGGTGGGATCTCCCACAGGCCGCCAGGTCCTCATGGGGGCCTTGGTCTCCCTATTTACCCCCCACGGGGACCAGGGCAAGTTTGGATGAAGAACCCAGGCCTGGTAAGCATGCTGCCTTGTCCCGGCCACCCCGTTCTCTGCTGGGTGTCAGGAACACCTCCCTCCCCAGCCTCTGTCTACCAACGGAGGGAGCACCTTCTCCCCGCGTGGACGGTAACGTGTCACAACGCAGCCCCACCCTGCGCTTTCTGTGTGCCCCACGCTGTGCCAAGTGACTCGCATACGCTAGCACACAGGATCCTCCCAGTAACTCTGGGAGGTGGTTCTTCTCCAGAATATCCCCATTTTACAGATGAGGAAACAGACAGGGAGAGGCTAAATAACTTCCCCCAGGTCACACAGCCAGAACGCAGACCCAGGCTGACCGAGGAGCCCACACACCTAACCATGCTATTTATGCTACTCTCACAGCACACCAAAGTCACCTCCTCCGGGAAGCCTCCCTGGCCCTCTTCCTGAGTGTCCTCGGTGCCCTGTGCCACCTCCATTAGAGCACCCCTGCACACTGGGCTCTAATTATGTGGCCTGGGGGTCAGCTGCCGGGGTCTGACTCCTGGCTCCATTCGCTAGGTGGTGCTGGAGCAACTGCCTTGCTTAACCTCTCAGTGCCTCCGCTTCCTCACCTGGGCCAACGAGACCAGGGCCTGCTGAGCCGCCATGGAGGCCTGGCACCACCTGGTCCCAGGCAGAGGCCTCGGGACACGGTGCTCATTGCTTTGAACTCTTCCCACCAGTGATGCCTGTGGTGGGTCAGGACCTAACATCTCAGAGAGGCCTGAACAGGTATCCCCCTGCCCACCAGGTACCCACATGGCAGGGGCAGCCCCTCCACTTCGTCTCCCCATGCCCCTCCTCCCCCACCCCACCCCCCGCCCGCCACCAGCACCAGCCAGGCCCAACGAGCACAAAGGGACTCACTTGGAGACCAGCGAGAACGCCTCAGCGCAGATGGCAGGACAGGGGACAAACTTGATAAGGATGTGGCCCAGGGCCGCAGGGAAGTGGGCACGGGTGACCGTCTCCAGCACGGAGCTGAAGGTGTGGATGTCGGCTGCCTTGCAGGATGGGTCCCCTGAGCTCGTGTCCAGGACGTTCCCCCCGTGCAGCACCAGCAGGAGGACCTGCGTCTTGCAGGAGCGCTGTGAGCAGACTTCCTGAAAGGGACATCAAGGGGGACAGAGAGAGACAGGCAGCAGGGAGATAGGATGGGGGAGGGGTGACACAGATGAATCTCACACACACACACACACACACACACACACACACACGGGCTGTGGCCAGGGAAGTGGGCACTACGCCCAGCCTGTCTTAGCTTCAAGTCGGGACTTCTCCAGGCCCCCCTAGATGATGGGACCTCCTGTGCCTTCAGAGTGAGGGGCACAGGCTGCCAGGAAGGCAAACCCCTCCATGTCAGGGTAGAAAGGGTCCCAAGAGGCCTTTCTTGATCGTATGGGAGTCAGAAGCCCAGAGAGGGACGGGATGCTGCCCAGGGTCACACAGCAAGTCAAATGAGGAGCTGGATAGAAACGAGGCAGCCTGTCTCCCCAGGGCTCTTCCCGAAGTCCCGACCACAGAGGAGGGCCCAGACAGCCTCAGAAACCGACCTCATTGTCCTCGTGGATCTCAATGCTGCCCTGGGCCGGGAACTTCTGTCTTCTCAAGGAAACGCGGTACAGCTCTCCTGTGGCGGGACAGAGGGCTCAGCTGGCAGGAGGCCTGGGCCGGCAGAATGGTACTGTGGGCGCTAGGGAGTCACCCTGCCCAGGCCCTGGCCTTTGAGCTCAACACAACATGAAACCTTTCTCCTCCTAAAAGACGGAAGGCCAGCAGGGTCATCCCAGAAAGGAGCTGTCCCTCTTCCCTTCACTAATAACAACAGCAACAGTAGAAGGGTCGCGGGGTGGCTCCCACTTCGTCATAGACATTTGGGCCAAGCATCCTTCTGGAATCACCCCAGTTGCTGGATTTAAAAAACAAACAAACAAAAACAAAACCTAAATACGTTGGAAGCTATCAGAGAGCCAGCTCGGCCTTGAATGATGGGAACCCCGTGCAGGGGAAGGGGGCCCTCAGAGGAAGGCCAGTATTTGCAGCCAAACATCATCACCATCACCCTGGAGCTGTGGGGTGAAGCCAGCTGGCTGCCAGACACGCCCTCCTTGCTTCTTCAGCCGCCTGGGCTCAGCGCCTCCAGCCTCAGGAAGTGCTTCTTGGCTTTCAACCCTCCCGAGCTCCCATTCCTCCAGCACAGACACTACAACCTTGGACCAAATCTGGCTCGCTGCCTGTTTTTGTAAATAAAGTTTTATTGGAGCACAGCCATGCCCATTCATGTACGTATTACCTGTGGCTGCTTAGGTGCCACAGAGACCTCACAGCCCGCAAAGCCCAAAATATTTTCTATCTGGTCCTTTAAAGAAAAGTGCATTGACCCCTGATCTAATAGCTGAAAATCACTGCTCTGGACTGTCAGCTGCAGAGAGACCTCAAAGACATCCGACAGCCCCTCACTGCCTCCCCAGTGCTGAAAGGGAGGAATCTTTCCTTCCATCAAGCTGACCTCGACTCTTCTCCTATCTCCCCGTGTGAAGGATATCACTGTCTCTGTGTGACTGACCTCATAGCTAGATGGTGAATCACTTGTTTGCCTTCAGTGACAGGGAACTCATCTCTTTTTTTTTTTATTATTATTATTATTTTTTTAATCCTCACCTGAGGACATTTTTTTTCCATTTTTTGCACAGACAGAGTGGGAGGGAGAGAGAGGGAGAGAGAGAGAGAGGGAAACATCGATGTGAAAGGGACACATCGAGTGGCTGCCACCCGCACGACCAACCAAGGCCGGGGACAAACTGCAACCGAGGTACATGCCCTTAGCGGGAACCGAACCCGGGTCTCTCCGGACCGCAGGTGGACGCTCTAACCGCTGAACCAAACCGGCCAGGGCGGGAACTCATCTCTTAAAGCAGCTGGTTCTAGGCAAGGATGGCCCTTCCTTCTTCTCACTTCACCCCCACAGCCTGACCCGAGCCTGCTGCACCCTCCTGGGATGCACATTTGGGGAGTATCCTTCCCAGGGGCTTCGCAGTCAACCCTGCGGTGGGTTGGCAGGTGTGGGTGGGAGCCCGGGCCAATGTGTGTCCGTGTCAACATCTCCTCGGCCACACTGGCCCCAGGGGAGGGGGCCTCTGCAAGGTTCACAGCAGGGAGCGCGCTTCTGAAATAGTCTGTACTCATACACATAACCCTGGTCTTAGGGTAACTGCTTTATGAGCTCGGAGCTGCTCCCCACACAGACAGGAAATCATTCCCTAAATGATGGAGGGCTTTGGCTTGGAGGAGGAAGAGGAAAAACGCATTCTGAGGCCTGTCCAGCACTTCCTAAGGCTCCTGCCAGCAACTCAGACTCTCCTGCCTTATTTCTAACATTCTAGAGTCCTTGCCCTGGACCTGGCTAGAAGGGCCCTGGGCCCTGCCCTGGGGACAGGATCAGAATAAATGACAACAGAGGATGTCGCCATTTTACTGAGCACATATGTCCCAGGCACTATGTGCCTTACAGGTATCATCACATCTAGTCTCCACAAGTAACTTCTGAGTTTTGGTCCTCTTATTATTACCCCATTTTACAGATGAGAAAACTGAGGCTCAAACAACCTAAGTCACTTGTCCCCGGCCACACAACTGAGAAGGCTGAGTGAGCTGGCACAGGAACTCAGCTAAGGGAGCCCTACACTCAACAGAAGACAGCGCTTGACAAAGTGCTCCCCCATCCGTCTGACCTCCATGGCTTCCTGGGGAGGTGGACACACAAATCCTCAATTTGCAGAAGAAAGAGGAGCACAGATTGATAAGTGACACCCCAAAGACTGAAGCCCAGTCTGCCATGGGGGAACAGCTCACCAGCCCGAGAGAGCACCCAGGAGGGAAGCTGAGGGAGGCTGTGCGTGCGGCCGCGTGTGCCGCTGTGGGCAAGCGGGCCAGGGGCAACCAGGGCCTGGCAGGCTGAGTTCGTGGCGATGGAGCCTGGGCGGCCCCTGACTTAGGGGCTGGGGGGGACCTGGTGGAAGCCATGGGCTTTGGAGCCAGAACACCTGAGTTCCAATCTTGACTCTTAGCAGCTGTATAACCTGCACCTCAGTTTTCTCATCTGGAACATGGGGATAGTAATAGCAGCTACTTCCTACAGTGGTGATGAGGATAAACAAGTTCATATATGGAAAGGGCTTAGAATGTTCATGGAACATAGTAAATACTATGTGTTCGTTATCATCATCATCATCATCATCCAGGGTGCATTGTGGGGCACAGGGTCACAGCTAATAAGATGAGGCCAATCCTGGCTGGTGTGGCTCAGTTCGTTGGGCATCATCCCATGTGCCAAGAGGTCACCAGTTCTATTCCCAGGGTTGGTTCCCCAGTAGGGGGTGGACAGGAGGCAGCCAATGGATGTGATGTTTCTCCCTCTCTCCTCTCCTCTCTCTCTAAAAGCAATAAAAAACACATTAAAAAAAAAAAAAAAAGGATAGGGCCAGAGGCTGATAGGAACATTGCCGCCTCCGCACTCTCCGGCCCTGTCCCCAAGTCCTCCCTGAGCCCTGGCAGGCTCCGGGCCTTGCTGGGCTGGGTGCCTGTTTGCACCAGGGAGCCTGCTTGCAGTGTGATTACAGGATTAAACACCATGATTGCCACAAATTATTATAACGAGGCTATAAATAAGTCTCAGGGAAGACTCGAGGGTCCTGCCACCTCCTGGGCACCATGCCTTCCGTTAGGTGGGGGCTGCATCCTGCACTCTCACTGGTTCCACGGACGGAGGAGCACCCGCATCCTTGATCAGCCTGCGGCCAGCTCCCTTGGGGCCCACGCGATGTTCTGGGCATCAGATCAGTGGACAAGTGCTGGACCCTGGCTGCAAACCATGCTGAGGCACTAGCTCCTGACTCGACGGGGATGGGAGCCCGGCAGGGTTGCTCTCAGCATCTCACCCCTTCCCTAGCAGAGGGAAGAGTCTGGCTCCTGTGCTGTTCGGGGTGGAGCCTTTCAGTGAGCAGACGCCAGAGATGCTTTGCTCTGGGAAAGGGAAGAGGGGAGGCCAGGTCCAGCTTCTGGCCCCTGGAGAGTTGACTCACAGGACCAGAGTTGCCCCACTGAAAGTGTGTCCCTGGTCTCGGCAGAAGCCTCTACAGACGAGCAGAAAGGCCGCCTAGAGGCCCCCTGCCTGCACGTTGCCCACAAGGGCTCTACTCTTCCAAGAACCAGACAGTCCCACAATCACTGAGGCCACTGGCTCTGACTCACCCACGAGACGTGACTCGCTCCCTGCTCCGTGCCCTTGCTCGTGCCGAGCCCTCCGCCCGGCAAGCCCTTCCTCCCGCTGCAGACCGGCAAATTCTCACTTGTCCTTCCAAACCCTGCTGGCCTGTCGCCACCTCTGGGAAGCCTTCTCAGAGCTTCAGCACGGCAGGCCGGGCCGGGCCTGGCTATGGCTGTGCATAGAGGTCACGTGTCTGTGTCCCCATCAGACCCGTGCCCCTGAGAGCAGGGTGTACACAGTGTCGGGGCTCCGTGTGGCATTCTCATGAAAACTCACGGCAAGTGGAGATCCAGGGTGCACACAGCCAGTGAGACCGCTCTCGGCTCTCAAACCCTGGGAGAAATCGTGTGCAGGGCAACACCATCCACTGGGAAACACGTTTCTTAAAAGTCCCCGGGGGAACTGCATCGGGGAACCTCTGGGAATTCTAGAACAGCCTGGCCTGCTTTGTGGCTCCACATCTCCAGGCTCCCCCAGAGTCTCTGGTGACAGGCTCTGCCAGCAGGGGTCCTGGGTGGTGGGGAGCCAGGTGCCAGGGCCCACCTCCTGTTCACGTCTGTCGGCATGACCCTATTCAGCCTGGTCCCTGCCCTGCCCAGATATGAAATGGGGGGAGCCCACAGCTGTTCTTGTGACGTTTTGTGACAAGCTTGGAGGCAGGCCAGCGACCACGGAGCCTGCTTCCAGCACCCCTGTGGGTCCTGGCACCAGGACCGGTGGCCCACCCAGCTCGCCACAGCTCCTCCTGCCAGCCAAGGAGTGGAGGCTATTTTTGCTTAATCACCACCTTGGAAAGGCACAAATTGTGATCATCCTTCTAATTACCGATGTGCCATGCGGCTCCTGAGACAAAAGCCAAGGTCCTCGCCCCCATACTCGGCACCCTAAGCAGAGCCACCCGCTTGGCTGAGGGGGCCAACCGCCTCTGTTCTCTCTCGCCACCTGCCGCTGGGACCCAGGGGGCGTGGAGGCCGGGGTGCCCCTTGCTAACACGGAGCACTCAATTTCACCCTGCATCCCACCAGGCCCTGCAGCAGCCCCCGTCTCCACTGATCACCCCTGGGGTCAGCTGAGCAGAGCTGGGCCCAGCTTGAGACCGTGGGGCATGTCCGGAGAAGTAGCGACAACAGTGTCCAATGATGTGAGACGTGGACACACAGGCATTGGCGTAAACACACATCTGGTGCCTGAACCCCATGCTTTGCTCTCTTGCTTGGATGTGGGGTGCAAGAAATGTGGGAAGGTTTAGAGCCTCATTTGGCAGCAAGCAGGGGGCTCAGCGCCCCCAGGTAAACCCACATGGAGAAGGACACACACACCCTGGAGGACATGAGCCATGGAAAGAGTCACGTGGAGAAAAATGA